AAGACAGGGGTCTTATAAAATGGGTATAGACAGTAGAGCACCATCTTGGACCCGGGGGTTCATTGGAGTACCGTGTCGGGGCCCAGGGGACACTAGAGTCGGTGCAGGAGAAGTTGTAGACGTCTGGCAGGAGCAGTTGAAGTTGTAGACGTCTGGCAGGAGCAGTTGAAGTTGTAGACGGCTGGCAGGTGCAGTTGAAGTTGTAGAAGTCCGGCAGGAGCAGTTGAAGTTGTAGACGGCTGGCAGGAGCAGTTGAAGTTGTAGACGAGCCGTTGAAGTGCAGGAAGGGGGGGGGGGGGGTTCTAATCAAATCTAAGGTCTAAGTGCCCTACTGTCTACACCTATTGAATAAGAACCCGTGCCTTTGGATATAACTGGCAGGTATGAAAGCCTGAACCTGTGGAGAGGGTTTTTAAAAAAGGGGGGTCGGTCATTTTTGGTGCCAGATTTTCAGTGTGGGATTTTTGGTGTGGGACAGTCAGGGTCAATTGATCACTGGACATTTGGTCCAGGGACAATTGATCACTGGACAATTGATCATTGGGACAATTGATCACTGGACATTTGATCACTGGACAATTGATCATTGGGACAATTGATCATTGGGACAATTGATCACTTGACATTTGATCACTGGGACAATTGATCATAGGGACAATTGATCATTGTTCATTTGATCAGGAAGGGGGGGTAAATCAAAGGTCAAAGTCTAGTCAACGTCTAAGGAAGCCTATGCCTAGTGCCCTACTGTCTACACCTATTGAATAAGAACCCGTGCCTTTGGATATAACTCGGAGGTATGAAAGCCTGAACCTATGGAGAGATGTTTTTTAAAAAGGGGGGTCGGTCAGTTCAGTGCGGGATTTTCAGTGTGGGCCATTTTGGGGAGTGACGTTTTGTCCTGGGCATTTTAGGGAGTGACGTTTTGTCCGGGGCGAATTGGGGAGTGACGTTTTGTCCGGGGCATTTTGTCCGGGGCATTTTGGGGAGTGACATTTTGTCCGGGGACGAATTGGGGAGTGACGTTTTGTCCGGGGCATTTTGGGGAGTGACATTTGGGTCAGACTTTGGATAGGTGGAAGACAGGGGTCTTATAAAATGGGTATAGACAGTAGAGCACCATCTTGGACCCGGGGGTTCATTGGAGTACCGTGTCGGGGCCCAGGGGACACTAGAGTCGGTGCAGGAGAAGTTGTAGACGTCTGGCAGGAGCAGTTGAAGTTGTAGACGTCTGGCAGGAGCAGTTGAAGTTGTAGACGGCTGGCAGGTGCAGTTGAAGTTGTAGAAGTCCGGCAGGAGCAGTTGAAGTTGTAGACGGCTGGCAGGAGCAGTTGAAGTTGTAGACGAGCCGTTGAAGTGCAGGAAGGGGGGGGGGGGGGGGGGGTTCTAATCAAATCTAAGGTCTAAGTGCCCTACTGTCTACACCTATTGAATAAGAACCCGTGCCTTTGGATATAACTGGCAGGTATGAAAGCCTGAACCTGTGGAGAGGGTTTTTAAAAAAGGGGGGTCGGTCATTTTTGGTGCCAGATTTTCAGTGTGGGATTTTTGGTGTGGGACAGTCAGGGTCAATTGATCACTGGACATTTGGTCCAGGGACAATTGATCACTGGACAATTGATCATTGGGACAATTGATCACTGGACATTTGATCACTGGACAATTGATCATTGGGACAATTGATCATTGGGACAATTGATCACTTGACATTTGATCACTGGGACAATTGATCATAGGGACAATTGATCATTGTTCATTTGATCAGGAAGGGGGGGTAAATCAAAGGTCAAAGTCTAGTCAACGTCTAAGGAAGCCTATGCCTAGTGCCCTACTGTCTACACCTATTGAATAAGAACCCGTGCCTTTGGATATAACTCGGAGGTATGAAAGCCTGAACCTATGGAGAGATGTTTTTTAAAAAGGGGGGTCGGTCAGTTCAGTGCGGGATTTTCAGTGTGGGCCATTTTGGGGAGTGACGTTTTGTCCTGGGCATTTTAGGGAGTGACGTTTTGTCCGGGGCGAATTGGGGAGTGACGTTTTGTCCGGGGCATTTTGTCCGGGGCATTTTGGGGAGTGACATTTTGTCCGGGGACGAATTGGGGAGTGACGTTTTGTCCGGGGCATTTTGGGGAGTGACATTTGGGTCAGACTTTGGATAGGTGGAAGACAGGGGTCTTATAAAATGGGTATAGACAGTAGAGCACCATCTTGGACCCGGGGGTTCATTGGAGTACCGTGTCGGGGCCCAGGGGACACTAGAGTCGGTGCAGGAGAAGTTGTAGACGTCTGGCAGGAGCAGTTGAAGTTGTAGACGTCTGGCAGGAGCAGTTGAAGTTGTAGACGGCTGGCAGGTGCAGTTGAAGTTGTAGAAGTCCGGCAGGAGCAGTTGAAGTTGTAGACGGCTGGCAGGAGCAGTTGAAGTTGTAGACGAGCCGTTGAAGTGCAGGAAGGGGGGGGGGGGGGTTCTAATCAAATCTAAGGTCTAAGTGCCCTACTGTCTACACCTATTGAATAAGAACCCGTGCCTTTGGATATAACTGGCAGGTATGAAAGCCTGAACCTGTGGAGAGGGTTTTTAAAAAAGGGGGGTCGGTCATTTTTGGTGCCAGATTTTCAGTGTGGGATTTTTGGTGTGGGACAGTCAGGGTCAATTGATCACTGGACATTTGGTCCAGGGACAATTGATCACTGGACAATTGATCATTGGGACAATTGATCACTGGACATTTGATCACTGGACAATTGATCATTGGGACAATTGATCATTGGGACAATTGATCACTTGACATTTGATCACTGGGACAATTGATCATAGGGACAATTGATCATTGTTCATTTGATCAGGAAGGGGGGGTAAATCAAAGGTCAAAGTCTAGTCAACGTCTAAGGAAGCCTATGCCTAGTGCCCTACTGTCTACACCTATTGAATAAGAACCCGTGCCTTTGGATATAACTCGGAGGTATGAAAGCCTGAACCTATGGAGAGATGTTTTTTAAAAAGGGGGGTCGGTCAGTTCAGTGCGGGATTTTCAGTGTGGGCCATTTTGGGGAGTGACGTTTTGTCCTGGGCATTTTAGGGAGTGACGTTTTGTCCGGGGCGAATTGGGGAGTGACGTTTTGTCCGGGGCATTTTGTCCGGGGCATTTTGGGGAGTGACATTTTGTCCGGGGACGAATTGGGGAGTGACGTTTTGTCCGGGGCATTTTGGGGAGTGACATTTGGGTCAGACTTTGGATAGGTGGAAGACAGGGGTCTTATAAAATGGGTATAGACAGTAGAGCACCATCTTGGACCCGGGGGTTCATTGGAGTACCGTGTCGGGGCCCAGGGGACACTAGAGTCGGTGCAGGAGAAGTTGTAGACGTCTGGCAGGAGCAGTTGAAGTTGTAGACGTCTGGCAGGAGCAGTTGAAGTTGTAGACGGCTGGCAGGTGCAGTTGAAGTTGTAGAAGTCCGGCAGGAGCAGTTGAAGTTGTAGACGGCTGGCAGGAGCAGTTGAAGTTGTAGACGAGCCGTTGAAGTGCAGGAAGGGGGGGGGTTCTAATCAAATCTAAGGTCTAAGTGCCCTACTGTCTACACCTATTGAATAAGAACCCGTGCCTTTGGATATAACTGGCAGGTATGAAAGCCTGAACCTGTGGAGAGGGTTTTTAAAAAAGGGGGGTCGGTCATTTTTGGTGCCAGATTTTCAGTGTGGGATTTTTGGTGTGGGACAGTCAGGGTCAATTGATCACTGGACATTTGGTCCAGGGACAATTGATCACTGGACAATTGATCATTGGGACAATTGATCACTGGACATTTGATCACTGGACAATTGATCATTGGGACAATTGATCATTGGGACAATTGATCACTTGACATTTGATCACTGGGACAATTGATCATAGGGACAATTGATCATTGTTCATTTGATCAGGAAGGGGGGGTAAATCAAAGGTCAAAGTCTAGTCAACGTCTAAGGAAGCCTATGCCTAGTGCCCTACTGTCTACACCTATTGAATAAGAACCCGTGCCTTTGGATATAACTCGGAGGTATGAAAGCCTGAACCTAGTTGAGTTTTTGCAGTTCGATAGGGGCGGTAATAAATGAACTTTGTGGAATACATCTGGGTTTTCATTATAGAAAAAGTGCGCATTTTTAGAAAAAAATAGGGCGACACGTTGGATCGCTTTTAGAGTTTAGGAGTGTCTGAAGCTCTCTGAGCTTGGAAGAGTTGGGCGATGGGTAAACCCTGGGTAAGGGGGGAGGGGCCAAACCCATTTTTAACCAACAAAAAAATTATGTGATAAAAAATACCACTTGTAAAGAAAAGGCCTTTTTGCTTTCTTCTAAACGAATCCGCAAAAATCCTTTTTTTTACAAGTGGCTTAATTGTGCTTTTCCGTTTTTGCATCTAAGAATTCTGCTGTTTGATAACATTTTGTGCTGAAAAATAATAGAACAAAAAAATCAACGCAAACGGAAAAGCACTAAAAAATAATAAAAACATATTCAATTCAAATATCTTTTAGACCTTTAAATGTGGCGGAAGCATCTTTGCCACATTTTTTAGCTTCTCTCATCTTTGTAATTCATCACCAATTTGTTGCAGTCCAATGCACATTAAGAACACCTCGCAATAACTTGTCTTGGTGTAGTTGTTGATGTTTCAGAGCCATCTACCACACTTGCACGAAGAGTGATTGTTGTTGAGGCAAACATCTACATCACTCCTTTAAAATTAAAAATACAAAAAGTGAGAGGAATTAATATGAGGGTAGATTAAAACCGTCTGGATCCGCTAACCCCGCGATATCCTTCAAAACCCGAATAACACTTCTCATTCGCTAATATTTGACTTAAACCACCTGAATCCCCGGTGAAATATTCAATGCTTCGGCACCAGTAGCCCCGGAAAAGCTAAATATATTGGCGACCTCTCGCCACCAAATGTTCAATGCCCAGCATAGGCGGGGAAATTAAAGACATTTCTCATGTCAAATAAAAAATATCAAACCTTAGATTAAAGTAGTTGTCACAGTTGGTTGATTGTCGGCCGCTGTAGAGAGCAAAACAATTTCGGATTCTTCTTCTCGAGAAATTACTCCAGCTTGCACATAAGCAACACCATAAGCAACACCAAAAGCAACAGCCTCATCTAAAAGAAATTTATTTAAAAATGTTTGAGCAAACCTAATCGGATGGAATACAATCAGACTTTTCCCGATCCGAAAAATTAAAATCCCAATCCGAAACTCGACCCAAGAATGCTTGATTTCAACATACAAGCTACTTACTTTGAAATATATAGTATTGGGAATGTGTTACGAGGCCTGAATGTATGTACAACCCAGGCTGAGAAAGAATCTGGGTTACAATTATCCGGAAAGAGCCTCTGACGTTGAAGATGCCCAATCAAAGCCAATTAACTTTACCCAACATTAAAAAAACAAAGTTTAACCTGGATTAATGCCACGAGAAGGTTCTTTTCCATTTAAAGAGTCTTTTAACAATTGTTGAATTTTTGGAATTCTTGTTGATCCACCAACCGAAACAATTTCATGAATATCATCCTTCTTCATATCTTAAACAGAAAATCTCAAAATTTTTCAAAAATTCCCTCCCAAAAAAACCTGCATCTTCCAAAACTTTTTGTACCGCTTTAAGTGTTTCCTCGAAACAAATCCATATTTAATTATTCAAATTTGGCACGAGTCAAAGTTCCAGAAAAATCAATTCCATCAATTAAGGATTCAACTTCCATTTTGACTTGGTGTTGGACAGAGAGGGCTCTCTTTGCCTTTTCGACCTTTAAATGAAAAAAACTTTCATAAATCTTAGTCCAGAAATTATTTAAAATAATTTTTAACATAACGGAGAATAAACGGAACAAAAAAGAACAAAACAACCAAAAATGTATCTTTTGGTTAAGTGGTATAATTGAAAATATTACTTAAAAGAGGGTACAAGGTTCGGAAAAATTCCGTCATATGTCCCGGAAACCGATTCGGACAAATGATATGTCATTCGAAAGAGCTCAACGAGATGAGTCGAACGACACCAAAATTAGCTGGGGGACTCACCTATGGGCCGAGATATAGGTCCCCGAAAATCGAAAAACCATAGGGGGGAGTAAGCTCAATTTTGGGGTGAAAAATTCGATATTTTGAATGGTAGCTCATTCGAAAGAGCTCCTCGAGCTGAGTCGAATGACACCAAAATCAACGAAATACAACTTGATTGGACTGAGATATAGACCCCTAAAAATCGACGATCCATAGGGGCGATTTTTCGAATAAAAAATTTTTTATACAAATAATACCTCATTCGAAAGAGCTCGACGAGCTGAGTCAAATGACACCAAAATCAGGTTGATTGTATAAGTTCGGACAAAGTTACAATAGAAAAACAAACAACATAAACCTATGGGGCGTCGGCGAGGCGCTTGTGCAAAACCCCCGCGCTTCGCGCGGGGGTTTTGCGGCACGCGCCTCGCGGGGAGTCTACGGGCGCTGGGTCTGGGCTCGTAACATAAACCTATTCGTATCTCCCTTGCTTTGGACGTATTTGGGGCCTCCGTAGCAGCAAAAATCTCCACAGATCCCATAGGTAAGGAGCTAAAACAAATGCTCATAACTTTGTCAAATCAAGTCGAATTTCTTTGATTTTGGTGTCATTCGACTCAGCTCGAGGAGCTCTTTCGAATGAGCTATCATTCAAAATATCGAATTTTTCACCCCAAAATTGAGCTTACTCCCCCCTATGGTTTTTCGATTTTCGGGGACTTATATCTCGGCCCATAGGTGAGTCCCCCGGCTAATTTGGGTGTCTTTCGACTCAGCTCGTTGAGCTCTTTCGAATGACATATCATTTGTCCGAATCGGTTTCCGGGACATATGACGGAATTTTACCCAAGGTTCGAACCCCACCAGTGAAAATTATAATTTTTAGTCATTTTAAATAAAAAATATCAATTTTAAAAATTTTCCAACATATTTCAAAACCGTTAGAAATTTTTAGAACCCCAAAAAACCCCCAAAAAGTCAAAAAACAAACCTCACGACGAAGTTTTTGAACAGCACGGTTATCCTCCTCAAATCCTTTCCAGTCTTCTTTTTAATTAATTTAATAAAGTATTCCATCGTCCTCTGGTCAAAATCTTCAACTCCAAAGTGAGTGTCTCCATTTGTTGCCAACACTTCAAAAACTCCATTATCAATAGTCAACAATGATACGTCGAAGGTGCCTCCGCCAAGGTCAAAAACAAGAATGTTGCGTTCCCCTAAGAAATAATGAAGTTTAAAAACAAGTTCGGAGCCACCAGTTCGGAGTCTGGGCCCTCTATATGTATAGGCAAACTAGTCCAAGTCCGGGCCACACTTTTGACATCTCGGATCCGGCTCCGACATGAAAACCCAACCCGGAGTCCGAACCCTATAAACAAAACATTCGGCACTATCTGAAATAAGGTCGGTAATCGTTTTTTTTTCATTACTTTTTTCCATTACTTTTTTCCTTCCTTGATATGACAGAATGGTCAGCATTTTTCTCCTTGTTCTATTCCATTATATTCCCTGTGGCATAATCAAAAGAGTAATGATAAAGAAAAGGGTTAGTTTTTAAATACTTTGTCCTCTTCGTCCGTGCTATGTCTGTCCTTCTTCGTCCGTGTTTTGCCTGTCCTTCTTCGTCCGTGCTCGTCAGTGTTCGTCCGGTTTTTGTCTTTCCTTCTTCGTCCGTGCTCGTCAGTGTTCGTCCGTGTTTTGTCTGTCCGTGTTCAGCCGTGCTCGTCAGTGTTCGTCCGTGTTCGGCAGTGCTCGTCAGTGTTCGTCCGTGTTTTGTCTGTCCGTGTTCGGCCGTGCTCGTCAGTGTTCGTCCGTGTTTTGTCTGTCCGTGTTCGGCCGTGCTCGTCAGTGTTCGTCCGTGTTTTGTCTGTCCGTGTTCGGCCGTGCTCGTCAGTGTTCGTCCGTGTTTTGTCTGTCCGTGTTCGGCCGTGCTCGTCAGTGTTCGTCCGTGTTTTGTCTGTCCGTGTTCGGCCGTGCTCGTCAGTGTTCGTCCGTGTTTTGTCTGTCCTTCTTCGTCCGTGTTTTGCCTGTCAGTGTCTTGGTGTGTATTTTCTGTCCTCTCATTTGATTATGCCACAGGCAAAATTATTGGAGTTGAACAAGGAAGAAAATGCTGATTATTCTGTCATATCAAGGAAGGGAAAAAGTAATGGAAAAAAGTAATGAAAAAAACGATTACCGACCTTATTTCAGATAGTGCCAAACATTCAAAATACCTCAAATCACATTAAAAGTCTCCCCATAAACATCCCCCAAATGAAATTCCAAACCTTCTTTCTTGTCCAATCCATAAGCGATTGCCGCTGCTGTCGGTTCATTAATAATACGAACAACATTAAGTCCAGAGATGGTTCCAGCATCTTTGGTAGCTTGACGTTGAGCATCGTTAAAGTAAGCGGGGACCTTAAAAATATTATTTTAGTTTCGACGGTAACCGGAAGAAACTAACCGTAACAACAGCCTGCGTAACTTCATGACCCAAATAGGCTTCGGCAATTTCCTTCATTTTTCCAAGAACCATTGCTGAGATCTCTTCTGGAGCAAATTGTTTAATTTCTCCGTTGACGTTTGCTTTGATGTGCGGCTTATTGGCTTTATCAGCAACCTGAAAAATTTTGGGAGAATGATTATGCGACTCATTATGCGAGATGAGTCCATAGGGACAAACCATGAGGTCGATAAACTCTCTTGGGCAACTGTCAGATAATGCAAAACGGGGCAGGCAAATGTATCCTTGATCTTACGTCACCTTTATCCGCCCCAAATATTTGGATTTGACCTTCTTGATAACTTGACCAATAGAGGGGGTCATCAGACATCTACTGAGTCATCTGATCTCCTGCCTTTTGACATTCCTAGGTGAACCCTTTAACATCTTATGGCAGTCCTACTGATTACTCCCAGCCCTTTGGCAAATGTTGGGGGAACCGACGAGGTCCTTTTCCTCCCTATTCTTATTTCAATTTTGGAAATGTTCAACTGGAAAAGGCCCTATTTTTCTTATATTATACCTTGATCGTTTGCAATAATTTCGACACGTCCATTTTTATAAACACCAACACAAGAATAAGTTGTTCCCAAATCAATTCCAATAATCGTTCCATATTTTTTGTCTTTATCCTTAGGTTTGGCAGAGTCGTTTTTGGATCCCTCATCACGTCCAAGACCTTGAGATATTGACAAAAATAAAAGAATTGAAGAGTCAGAATAAACTTTGTCGTTGTTAACATTTTTAGTTTTTAAAAAAACTCTGAAAAAATATATGAAGAAATTTAAAAATCAAGTACAAATTAAAGGCGAAGCATAAATAATGGAGGGGAGAGAAATAAAAAGTTTCTACAAAATTATGGATCCTGAGTAAAAAGAAACACTCACAAACCCAAAAAAACATCCCAACAACCCCAGTAATCAATCAACTCGCTGTGGAAGTCCATGAATTATTGAGAAGTAATTGAAGAAATCTAGGTCCTCTGGAAACACTCAAACCCAGTAAAAGATCCCCAAGTCCAGAATCCCGTAGTTAGACTATAAAGGTTTTGGAAGGTTCTCAAATTATTCACGCATAAAATGGAAGGTCTCAGAAATTTCATTCAACAAAAATCTACACGAGAATAAGGGCTACCCAAATTTTTCTATGTATGAACAGAAAAAATCCCCTCTAATTACTCAACAAAATCCCCCATTTCCTTAAAAGAGAAGCTTAAGAATTTTTAGAATTTAAAAGGAATTAAATAAAAAATTTTGTAGTGAAAAATTGACTCAAAATTCTAGCATATATTGAGAGGATTTGCAGTTGTTTCTCAAGTGCTGAGTGATGCTTAGTGGATTTTGTTTTCCTTGTCACGTTATGACTATGAGATGAATTGATAAAGGATTTTAGTTAATCATAAATCGATTAGTAAAATGGGGTTTGGTAAAAAAAGTTACCTCCAAGTCCATCTTAAATGACCCCAAGAAGAAAACAGATAATTACTCTTTTTCTCTCTCCGTAGTCTTTCTAGAATGGGATAAATTGTCGTTTTTCGAAAAAATCTGCCAAAATTTAAATTTAAGGAAAAAAGTGGCATGAAACGTAAAGCATAGGAATGTGTCTATCCTAAATACATCAAAAATCTAAAATACATCAAAAATCTAAAAAGCTCAAAAATCTAAAAAGCTCAAAAACCTTTTCCATAAAAAGGAAGTAAAGAATTAAATAAAATTTTGTAGTGAAAAATTGACTCAAAATTTTAGGATACATTGAGAGGAATATTACGAAACATCAAAAGTTACGAATCAGACATATCGACAAACGACAAAACGGCACAAAAGCATAAACACGACATAACGGTACACTAACGGTAGACAACAAAATAGTACAAACTAAATCAAGACAAAATGTCTTTGGCAATAATGTTAAAAAGGTGTTCAAAAAGTGTTAAAAGGTGCTCAAACAAAAGATAGCATAGCTAAGCTAACCATTCTTAAACGGCTATTCTTAAGCTTCCCCTACCCTAGAAAAATGGAGAGATTTACACTTTTCTCTCCCCTGTTGCGTGTCATCGAGGCATTAAGATGGGGATATCGGTGGATCAAGGTGGATTTTGAGAGATTTAGAAGGATTAAGACGGATATTGATGATTTGTGGGATTAGGAGGGATATAAAGGAATTTTGTGTGATTAAGGGTGATATTAATAATTTTACGAGGTAAAGAACTTCTAAAAAGTAAAATAGCCGTATTTTACTTTAGACATTTCTAGGGATTTTCGATCTCATTGTAAAGTCTACTTTTAAATTGACAACATATGGATTAAATTCTAATTTTTTGCATTTAACTGTAAGTTTTTAAAATTTATTATGATACTTTAACGAGCATTTTTTTCAATTTCTTTACTCTTTCCTTTTTATATGCATAGTTACTTAACATTTTTTGCGTAATACTACATGCTTGAATGCATCATTTTATATCCTGAATTTTCACTTTATGAATGCGCCATTTAGCCAAGGAAGTTACTTTCATTTACATATAAAGTCAATATGTTATGTTAAAATAGAAGTAACCGCTTTCAGGCATGCTTTAAATTGATTTATCATTCAATTTTTTCCAAATAAGCAATTTTTTATCTTCTTGTACATAAAATCGTGTAGTTTTCGTACCTAGAAGGTATAATGATTTAATTGCTATACTAATACAGTGGTGGTCATATGTTTATGGACAACAACGATTTATCAATAAAATCCTTTATAACAAAACTAAATAAGAATCAATCGAAAACAAAAAACGACAATTCAAATACTCAGTTCATTTGCTATAAAATAGCTTAGTTTCATTAAAATCCACCATCATTATCATAATTAAAATCCGGACCAAATCTCTTCACCCCTATTTTTAACGCGTCATATGTTTATGGACAAATGTGTTTTCCATCTAAAACTTTTTAGATTAATGCCAAGAAATGAGATTATCGCTACTCCGTGGACACTTACATTGATATTGAGTAGAAAATAAAATGAATGAAGTCTGTAACTTCCTTTTTCATCATGATCTCGAATCTCAAAAATCAACGGAAAATGGAGGTACAGTACTTTAAAAAATATTTTTACCCCCTAGAGCTTTTATTAAAAAATTTCTTTTAGGCCTATCTGAAAGCACATAAAATTTGCTACAAAATATTCCAAGATTTTATTTTTCGAATAAAAACTCATGGAGCTGTAGGTACGGCAATCTCTTATGTTATCATTTTTGGGGTATTTTAGGTGATTTTTGACCATTTTTATGTGAAAGTCGATGTACGTCGAACAACTATTTTTTAGAATAAATGAGACCAGAACTATTTTGTAGCAAATTTTATGGGCTTTCAAATGAGCCTAAAATAAAAATTTTTATAAAAGATCTTAGGGGTTAAAATATTTTTTGAAGTACTGTACCTCCATTTCCCGTTGATTTTTGAGATTCGAGATCTCGATGATGAAGTAAGTTACAGACTTCGTTTTTTTGATTTTCTACTCAGTATCGTTCGAAATGTTTACAGAAATTTTATTAGAATTTTTACACCAACTAAAGTAGGAAAATCCAAGGTTATTTAATTTGTCCATAAACATATGACGCGTTAAAAATAGGGGTGAACAGATTTGGACCGGATTTTAATTATGATAATGATGGCGGATTTTAATGAAACTAAGGTATTTTATGGCAAATGAACTGAGTATTTGGACCACCAAATTTTATTATTGATTTATTCTTATTTAGTTTTGTTATGAGGGATTTTATTGATAAATCGTTGTAGTCCATAAACATATGACCACCACTGTATTTATTTGAACCTCTTTTTAGTTATCAACCGTTATTTCTAACATTTAGCAAGTCTTTCCAAATTTTCCATGTTTTAAAATTTTCTGCTTTGAATTCTATGTGATATCCTGCGTTTTTGCTTGACCATAATATTTTCATTTCCTTTTTTACACATTATCCCAAAGAAAATCCTTTTAAAATAGAATTCATTTACCATATTTAGCTGCTTGCTTTTTTGTTAGAAACAAGAGGTTGTTGCTATGAAATGAATTATCTCCTCGGCAATGACCTTCTTTCTTTTAGCATTTTATGTACGTTAATATTAACTTGTGTTTTTGGAGCCATTATTTTGTTTCATCTAATAACTAAAATATTGAAAATTATTTCTATCCTTAAAAGTTTTCCCTTTAGTTTTAAGTGGATCTTTTGATGTGGAATATGAGATGACACCGATCATATTTATTGCAGATATATTTATACAACTGTTGTGGTTGAAAGCTTTATTTACTTATTCTTAACCTTATTCTTATAATTTATTTTTGCAAATATTATAGTTAATTTGCTGATTTAACCGCATACATTTTAATTATTTTAGCTGAATTATTTAATTTTCTACATCATTATTTTAAAATCCACTTCATCTTGCTTTTAAATCTCTTATTCTATTTTAGTTTTTATATACTCATAGCTTATTTATATACTTTTTATAAATAATAAAATTTTCACAAGACATTGCCTTATGCACCTGCATGCTAAATATTAATGTTAAATTACTGCCAATACGAGAAAAATATTTTGCTTCTTATTTATTATTTATTAGTAATCTGTCATTTTAAATTAACAACGGCATCGTAATCACATTTTTCCTAACGAATATTCTGCTCTACAAAATTTTATTGCTACTAATAAATGCATGGATTCAGACAACTTAGGCTTGGCGCTTCCAGATTTAAGGTTGGTCAAAAGTATTTTGTTATATGCTTCGACTATTTTATATAAATATTTTGTTCTGATTTTTTTGAATATTTTATTTTGATCCCTCAATTATTAGATTTCACTACATTTATTCAAAATTCATTACAATTTTACTAATTCTTTTTAAAAAATCTAGCTATAATAGAATTTTAATTATTTTAAAATACTTCTTTTATTTTACAAAACCTCATAATATTTTTATTTTTATTCGCCCTTCCTTTCCTAGAAACAAATTCTACCTCATTGAGTTCCCTCTCTTTTAACACCGAATATGTACAATTTCCACTTCCCACGACCTTCCCATCCTTATCCACTACCATAATAAGTATGTAGCACAACCGGAATGCCACTTTGTAAACCAATTTTGTGCAGCTTTTAAAACGCCTGTGGTGTCGATGGGGCGGAAGCGTGCGAAATTCCGTTGCCAAAAATGGCCAAGAAAGATGGCTTACGGCTACTTTAAAGTGCTCAATATATTGTATTTACAGCTTTTTATCAAATAGCTCCTCTGTTAACTAGTATTTTAAAATTATTTCCCATATTTATCTTAATAATTTTGTATAATCGAGCATATAATTAAGAGGAAATTTTATTATTTAAATTATAAATGATCTTCAATTTTACTTTTATATTTATTCCATTAATATGTATATAGGTAGTTAATATTCTAGTTACTACTTTTTATTCTATTTACCTTTGTACCTCTATAATAAAAACCCTCTCGGGATTATCTTTTTAAAATTTCATATAAAAATTGGAGAAATTTCCTTTAAATTTCAGTGTACTTTATATTTATATATACTAATACATTTTTGGCCTTAAGCTACAATTCATTTCTTGTTCTACTTGTTTTTAAAGTGAAGATTGTCTATTTTTGTTCATCCAATTTGCTGCAGTCTCCCAATTTTCTCATTTAGCCTTTCACAAATAACTAATTTATTGTCCTCTTTCTTATTATTTTTATGTAACAAATTTGATTAAATGGACTATCCTAAGAATTTAGATTGGTTTAGAAGGAATTGTCTAAAATTTAGTAGGGCATGCCTATTAAATTTAAATATTTGACAATTTTTTAAATGTTTCTAGACATAATTTTTAATTCAAAAATTTTACTTTGCATTCCTCCTTTAATGGTTACAGGCTTTTTAAAATACATATATGCTCGATTATTCTAAAAAAATGAAAAGCATCCAGCTGCTAAAATGAAGAAACATGTTTTCCATTTATGTGAAAATGGATTTCGATTTTTTAATTACCATTTCTCCTTAATTCTGGACATGAAATTGTAACATATTTCAAGCTTCTTAATAATTTCTAAGTCTGTAATTTTATTTTGGACTTTAAGAAAAAAAAATTCTGTATTTTTAACTGTATCGGTATTAATTGGATATAACTACAAAGTCATAAACTTCGTTAAATTGGTTAATAATATCCAAGTAACCACCTTAAGCATCAGCTGTGGAGCAACAAACACCAGATAGAGAGCAACAAACTCAGGTTCAAAGAGATAGATTATCTTCAATTCAACAACGACTTGCAGAATGGTTGTCTGAACATTTTTATCACCGCAAAATCATTGCATCAAAGATTTCCCAGAGTATGTGGATAGTAATTAAAATTCTTTCAATTTGATCATATTTCGATTTGTTTGAGATTCCCTGCCCTCCACAAAGCATTGTATTTGTCTTTTTGTAGATCATAAAAATTACAATCCGGTCAAAGTTTACAACAGCACAATACAGGACGAAAGTGTATTCACAGCTCATCAGGTATAATAACATTAGTTATCAGTCATGTAAAATAACATTAGTTATCAGTCATGTATAATAACATTAATTATCAGTTAACAATGTGTTGACTATTTACTAGACTAGTATCTTCATTTCTTTAAAAGGTTTATTATGAAAGCTGCCCGACGCTCATTAATGAGTGTGACTCGTTTATAATGAGAGAAAAAGTCCTAATAATTCTGTCCTACTTAATTATTTTGGCAATGCTTAAACCCGCTTAGTCTTTCCCTTCTCTTATTTTATATCCTTATTTAATTTTCGATTTTTCATTATCTTTAAGTTAAAACTTCTCTTAGCTCTAAATTAAGAAAATTATTAATGTTGCTAATATTTCATGTTTTGATTTCATAGATATTTAATTATATATGCCATGTTACCATAAAAAACAAACTATCATATTATCATAATGCTTACATAATCTTAGTTATCACTTTGTTAATACGTTTTATTTCAGAGGGTTCACTTAGATAGGAGTAGACACGTTGATCAGATACCTAATTATCAGGTATATCAATTCTTAGTTATTTTATACTTTATACTACATAATTTAACCAGACACACAAGCTATTGGACGGGTCAAATATTGGTTCACACCATTACGGAGCCCACGGCGGTAATCAAAGTTTATTTAATATTTATTGCTTATGCATTCAGGGCACGGTGCTCACGGCCACCAAGGCACTTCGCCTGGTAAAGTCTCTAATATAATCTATAAGATTTTCTGACTTTAGCTATGATTCTCTATTATTTGGCTTCCGCATTTCGAGTTTCATCGAGGATTGGTTCTTTTATACCTGCTATTTTGGTTATCTTTATCTTTTAGATGATGATTTTATTGACAAAATCAACTACTTTTACACGACAACAATACGTAAATTTTTTTCATTTCTGATCCTTATCTTGTTATGTTCATTAAAGTTGCATCATTTGCACTACTTGTCACTGCTAAGCAATATGTACATAATTTTGTAGTATATGTATCTAATTATTTTTATCAATAGGTTGGTTATCCCATCCAATGTTGGGTTCCTGCTACATTTACAGGCTTCTCTCTAAAACAGATATATAAAATATTTTCTAATACATTTTAGATGCCATGGAACAATATACTGAGAATTATTGGTAATTAGGTCATATGTATTTATTCGTTTTTCAATTTTTCATTAAGTTATGTGCAAAATACCTATTGGATTCCCATGGAAGAAGTAAATTTTTAACTTTCATCAGAGCATTTTGAATATTTAGGATATCCCTCGTGAAGTTTATTCGAGGAGAAATCGTCAGATTGGTTACTACCAATGGGTAATATTCGTTATTTATCCGATTGAAAATAATTTTATATTAAATACGAAGGTGCCCTTCATTTTGGCACTTCAAGCGCTTTTCTTCTATATTCCATGCATTATTTGGCGTGGCCTTCTTTATTGGCATTCAGGCATTTATTATTATTATTTGAAGAAAATATCATTTTTATGTTCTGGAGAAATAAGTTTTATTTTAAGGGATAAATCTTCAAGGACTTGTGCAGATGGCATGTGATGCGCGATTAATGGATCCAGAGATTAAAGTAAATCTAAAATTTGTTTTAGCGTCTCATATCTTTAAATTTAAATATTGTGATAAAAAATTTAACTAAAGAAATCGCATCTATGTAGTATAATTTTATTACCTTCGTTTTTAATTTAAGTCGAGAACTGTTTTCACTATGGCCAGACATATGCAGGATGAAGTGCATGTAAGATTAAGCTTTTTATTGAGATTATATAATCACGTTACTTGATTAGATTTACATTCTATTAATAAACAATATCAGGTTGGAGCACAAGTTCAGCGACAAAGCCCAAACCGTTTAGCAATTTTACGAATTGGCAGACATTGCGGATGTTATATTACTCTTCTTTCAATTGCAATAAAAGTATTTTTCAAAAAATTTTACACACTTTTGTGTTGTTAACGACAGTTTTATTGTCATTTAACGGCATTTAGTATTAAAGTTTAAAACGACGTTTGCCATCTATTTATAGGTACTTTATAATTGTATGTTTTAGATGTTATATTCCACCAATGTCATTGCACAATTCTGCCTGCTCAACCAAATCCTTGGTTCTAGAGATTTTACTTATGGCTTTACTCTTCTTAGAGATATTGTTAATGAAATAGAGTGGGAGAAGACAGGTAATTGTTTGATTAAATTATAAAATCTATGCATGATACATCTCAGGAATGTTTCCTCGTGTTACACTTTGCGACTTTGAGGTTCTGCTCTTAAATCTTTAGTTATTGTTTGAAATAAATAATTTTTAAGGTTCGAGTGCTTGGCAACATTCACAGGTTAATTTAAACTTTAATGGCATAAAAATAAAAAATAAGTCGAGATACATATTAACATTTATATCGATTTAGTTTTAGAATAAGAATTTTATTAAAATATTTTTAGACATACCGTCCAATGCGTGTTGATGATAAAGTATAAAAATATTGCTTTTATGACTTAACTTATTTTTATAAGTTTCCCAGTATGTTCAACGAGAAGATTTTCCTCTTTCTGTGGTTTTGGTTCCTAACTGTCGGTTCGATTACAGTGAGTTTTAATTCTTTAATTCTTAAATATACATAAGATAATTTTACTAAATATTTTATCTTTAAAAAGGTTGCCAACACGTTCTATTGGATCTATACAATGCTTTATCCCAAAAAGGTCTAAATTCGTTTAAATTTTAAACCAAATGGTTACAGAGCATCTCGTTCATTCGAAAATATCTTCGCGTCCTTAGTGAGCATCCATTAAAACCTATGGCTGACGATGTTTCATTACGCAAATTCGCCAATAATTTTCTCCGTAAAGACGGAGTTTTCATGGTATTTATTAGATCAGAATTTCTCATCGATTTTTGTGTTTAGTTACGAATAATTTCAACGCATGCTGGTGAGCTTATGACATCTGAACTGATACTTGCGCTTTGGAACGACTTCAACAACATCGGCGAGTGGATGGAACATTGAGAATGGCAATTGATATATTATATTATCAATTTTAATATGCCAAAAAATCGTAAATAATTTTGACTAAAAGCTATATTTAGATCGTTGCACATGGGGGCATGAACAGCTTGACGATGATGACAATTCTTAAAGTTCAATGTTGATCTACTTGTTTCACAGCCAATCACACACATGTAGAATAATACTGCCTAAACATTCTATGTATGTACTTGTTTAGATTTTCAAGATTTGTAAAATTATGAATAAAATGTTAATATTTTATTGCACTATTTAATACTATAATTTGGCAACGTAATTTTCCGATCTTCAGTATTATTTTTGTGTTTCGACAATTTAATAATTGATGCTTCGAAAGTAATCAGCCAATGCGCCAGTTGTTTTACTGCACATTTCTGGTTGTACTCCACTCTCATAAACGCCAATTATAAAAGCTGGAATTAAGTAATATTGAACCTTTGTCGTAATTATTTGAACCTTTGTCCGTTTTATAAATGAAGAAACCATTGGCAGTTTTTTTGCCTGCATTTAAATAATGTTGAAATTTATTTTCCTATTTACCTATTATCCGCTCAGAGTCAGCTTGTAGCACGAAATATCTGTATTAAAATTATATAAAGATAATTTGTTAATAACTTTTCTCTTAAGAGAGCTCATGTCTTAGAGATACTATTTATCAGTATTCTATTCCTTATCATGCCTGATTTTTTGATATGTCAATAATCAACGGCTAAATTTATTTAAGACATACTTTTCGCCTTCAAACCGCAATCCGGAAGCTAGGACACCTTCTGAATCTAAAAGTACAAATTATTTTTGATGAATAAAATCTAAATATAATTTGTTAGTATTCCCAATATAATACAAGTATCATGAAATTATGTAGATTACTTTTAAGTCCATTCGCTGCAGCATTTGCTTCCGATTGATCTATCTTTATTATAAGGAATATATTTTCATATATTTAAATTTTAATAACCTTAAAATTGTCTGATTTCCCCCAAATAGAACCATCGAGCCCACAAATTGCTGCCTTTGAGACATGGCCAGTTCCTATATTAAAACCAACTTAATATTTCTAAAAGACATAATTAAGTTATATCGAGACTTTAATTTTGCATTATTCATTACCTACCGATTAGGTTGTTGTTAACAAGATCTTGCCAAGACATTTCTCTTTTGTCCAGGAATAATTTTTATAATCCCTAAAGTATTTTATTAGATAAAAGGGGAATCTAAAGGTGTAACACAAAGATGACGTAATATTTAGGCAGTGAAATTTTCTTAAATTTATGAACATTATCAAGAAAACATTTTAAATTAATATAAGTAGGTCATTTAAAGCATTTGTCAATTTCCTGCCTAGAGTGAGCACTTGATTTGAGCCATCGATTCGATATTTTCTGCTTTACCCGTTCTTGAGTAGATGAATGGACAAGTCTCTGACTGATCGTTTGTATTCGATTTTACTGGCGACTGCTGTTATGCATCTCTGTTTAAAGCACTGATCAAAATAAGAGTTTTGAGCATATTATACATTTTTCTCTTCTCCTGGTTTTTTCTTCTTTGTGCAAACTATAAAGCACTAAGGCCCATTACTTAATGTTGGATAGAGGATATCTCAGCTCAAAAGAAGAAAAGCATGTGTTGTGAACATTGAACAACGATAGGTCAGAATTTGCCTATTCTCAATATAGAAACTTAAGATCAAAATGAACTATACCAGAAATATTCAAAATTTAAACAATAAGTCTTAACTACGAACAGATAAATTTAAAGAGATAAGTATGTGTTTTTGCGTTTGAATAATTTATTATCTCTTGTACATCAACTTGGGTTTTGTTTTGTCTTTTGTCCTGATTGTCCTTGTTGACATTTATCCTGTGTGTCCTGCCTCTTCTGTCCTGTAAAATTGTGCAAATTTTAGAACATAATTACAAGGAGTATATGATCAATGTCGTGGACAATGTCACAGAAAGTTCATCAATGTACATACATTACTGACATTATATCATACATAAGTGTCATTACATTATAATGATCATTATAGGTAAAGAAAATAATCCAAAATTCGGAATTTACCACTTTTAGGAGCTGAGCTAGTACTACCAGACATCGAAGCCAATGCTGCAGCTAAATAAGAATATGCGGCACTATTAAGATCAGTTGTGCCATTAAGCGAGTTTAGCGCAAGCAGGGTTTGAAGTTGTTGATTTTGGAGCGAGGTGTCATATGTCGATGAGGTTGAAGCAGGAGAAGCAATGAGCGAATTCATCAAGGAGTTCATTCCTAAGCTTGAATTGCTATCAGTACCGTAACCCATCATTGATAATAATTGAAGTAGATATTGAGGATTGCTCATCTGTACGGAATTAGAAAAATATAGATATGTAATAAAATAGACAGTATTAATTAGAAACCAGTTTGGTGTAATCGCTCTGACCAATCAGTGATTTATTAATAACCGATGTAGATTTTACAGATGATGATTGCGTAGTTGATGCGTTTGAATTATTTTGTTTAGTTATATTCTGTTGTCTTGTTGGTAAAGGTTCTTTCGTTCGACCAAGGTCACGGTTCTCCAATTTCTAAAAGCAAAATATGTATAAAAAAGTTTATTGTCTCTGATAATATGAAACAGATCGAAATACCTTAAAAGAGTCAGATTTCCCCCAAATTGTGCTATCAAGACTACCAATTTCCGTCTTAGAGGCGTGACCACTTCCTGAAAAATAAATAATCTGGAATTTAAGAATAAAGTTAGTAAGAAAAGACACTAATACTGATTCTTCATTCTAAATCGTGTTAAATAAAAAAAATTTCAAAAACTTAATGAGTTTACCGCTTTTAAAAGCTGAGCCTGTACTGCCAGACATAGAGGCTAAAGCTGCAGTTAAATAAGAATTCGCAGTATTGCTTGTATCAGTTGTACCAAATGAGTTAAGTGCAAGTAGTGTTTGAAGTTGTTGATTCTGAAGCGTCGTGTTATACGCAGATGTTGAAGGGGAAGGAGAAGCAATAAGTGGATTTATTAGGGAGTTCATTCCCAAGCTTGAACTGCTATCAGTACCATACCCCATTAATGATAACAATTGAAGAAAGTATTGAGGATTGCTCATCTGTAAAAAAATTATTTTTGGTTTTTCGTTAGGGATTCGTTGGGGCGTTCGTTTATTCTGACAGGCTCTAGCGATAATAAAGAAAACATAAATTCACAAACCATTTTTAAATAATCGTTCTGGCCAACTAATGAAGCTTTATTATTCACAGATGTATTCACAGATGTAGATCTCTCTGACTGCGTATTTGATAATGTGGTAGAGGTGCTTTGCTTTTCAACATTTCCTAAATTCAGTTGTTTTGATGATAAGGATTGTTTAGATCGAGTGCTTAAGTCAGCAATTTCCAATTTCTTAATTAAATGGAATTAAATACAATTAATAAAATTAGTGTCCGAGACCTTTAAATCATCAGATTTTGGCAAAACAGAACCAACTGATCCAGAATTTGAGGCTTTAGAAACACTTCCTATAAATAAAAAGACGGTAGATTTTTTACAATTATAAACTTTTAATAATTCTATAAATACAATCAGTTTTCATTAAAGATTAATATAAGGGGCTTTAATTAAGCTCACCAATATTAGCTGACGAGCCAGTATTGCTAAACAAAGATGCTAACGTTGAAGTTAACGAAGAATTTGCGCTAGTGCTTGAATCGGTTGACCCGGTGAGAGTGGTCAGCGCAAGAAGTGTTTGTAACTGTTGATTTAATGTTGAGCTATATGTAGATGAAGTTGAAGGGGATGGGGAAGTAATAAGTGAGTTCAAGAGTGAATTCATTCCTAAACTTGAACTACTTTCTGTGCTGCTGCAACCCATCATTGCCAATAATTGTAACATATATTCCGGATTATTCATCTGTTTTTAATTTTTAAATTATCATTTATTAATTTTTCTCTATCATGAAATTAATTAGTATGTCAAAAACAGAAAGTGCTGCGAAATTGGCGCACCCTGTAAAATTTAGTAATAAAATTAGAAACCAATTTAGTGAGTTCGCTCAATGATGATTTATTATAAACAGATGTGGATTTTTCGGAGGAATTTATATTTGAAGAAGATGTAGTTAAAACGTTTTGTTTTCCAGTATTTACTTTAGTAATTGAAGGTAATTTTGCTTTAATGACAATGTCGGAGCTTTCCTTCTAGAAAAGATCTGCTTATTAATTAGGTAGAATAATTAGAAACCATTTTAATCAGAGGTTGTTGCTTGTTTTGGCAAAGTGTTTGCATTGTACTGGTACCAGATTCAGAAGCTTCAGAATGCTGTATTGCTGAAGTGCCCTGTTTTCCTTTATCCAGTTCTTTCGCTTGAGTAACTTTATCACCAAGTTCAAGTGTCTAAAAAGTGCGAATTCAAGTTAAACATAAAAAACAAGCCTGGATCCTATGGAGTAATTTGCTTGCATTCCTAAAATCATAAATTTCAAAAATTGCTCTGACCCTTTACCTATGTAAATGTCTTTGGAATATCATGTCGACGCAAATAAATGGTGGCTAAAATTAATAAACATAAATATTTTTAGTTAGTTTTGAAAATAAAAATCATACGTTGTATTCTGGTTTTTGCGCCCAGCCTTGATAGAATTTAGATTTAGAATCACCGTCTGTGGATGCTTTGGTATCATTCTCAGGCGCCTCAGATTTTTCAGTATTTTTGTCCTGACACTCAGATGGAGTGATTAAGTTCCAAACAAATTCTTGAGTTTTTTCGTCACCTCGAAATTCTCGAATACAATGAAGTAACAAAGTCCTAAAATCAGTAGTATTTATAGAAAATTCAACAGACGCATCAGCGTCGAAATTCATAAATAATCGGAATAATACCTTGAGATATGCTCAAGTTCCTGTTCGCTTAGTTCAGAGAACTGTTTTAGGGTAGACCATCGACCCCACCCCCACTGCATGAGAAGTTTTTCCACCTAAATTTCAAACAAAATCAGAAATAAAAACGAAGCTCCATATATTTAGTAAATAAATTGTTAGTTGAAGAAACCTTTTTGAGTTGAACAATTGTACAAGCGAGCTCAGGGTGCCGATTACTTGCAGAAGCTTTGTGTCGTTGGCGCACTTCATCCCCTTGAATATGCGTGTCATCCTCATTGAATGGATATTTATAGTCATCCTCTGCACCAGCTGATGCCATTCCTGTAGCACGTCTCTTCTTACGAACGCTGCGACTTTTGACATTTTCTGCTATTCTAGAAGAACCTTTTACATGGCGATCATCTAAGATAAATAAAATAAAATGAAATTTCTATTTGTAAAGAAATGTATAAAATTAGTAAAATAATACCATCATCGGAAATTGTATCGTCTGCACTCTCAGAATTTCCTTTAAAGTTGTCCTCCTCGAATCGCTTTTTACGTGCTCGCGGTTCATGCACAATCAAATGTTTTGATGAGAAATCACCATGCAGAGCACCTACATCAATATTGGCCTTTTTAGCCCATTTAGACCAAAAGTCAGGATCACTATAATAATTGAAATATATACAAAATTAGTTTTTCCCCAGTATATCCAAGTAAATATACCTGATATCAATATCATCACGGTTATGTGACAACGTAAACGATGCTTTCGCAAAGGTAGATCCTTTTACTCCAGGCTGTAAAATAGTATTTTCGATTTAGAAATTTTTAATAAAGCATACTTCCAGTTTAATCGTTTGAGCACGCCGCTCCAGAATAGTATCTATATCCTCCTCACCAAACTTTGCATCTTCATTATCTTCGTCCATAATTGCACCTAGAAGATCCCTTATATAATTAATAAAAATTCAAACCATATGCTCCTTTTCGTAACAAGTCCTCTACTTCCTGACGGCTCAATTGATGACTGCTTTGTAAATTGCATTCAGTCCTCCTGTAAATATATAGAAAATACTTTCACTACTCAAGTTATTTAAAAAATACATTGACTGGAGCACAGCTTTATCCAGACCTGTAAACACATAGTGTGAATTTAGTAGTTTAAAAAGTAAACATACCCAACTTCAGACTAGCCTTATCAAACATCTCACGTTCGTAAGTATTAGCAGTTATCAGCCTAAAAGTAATTAGAAAACATGAAAAATATTTGAAGAAAAAAATATAGAGGCCATATAGAATAAACTATACCTATAGATTTTGACTTGTTTAGTTTGACCAATTCGATGACAACGAGCTTGAGCTTGCAGATCATTCTGGGGGTTCTATTTTTAAATAAATTAAATTTTTATTGTAAATAAATGTATGTACCCAATCGCTATCAAAAATAATGACTGTATCAGCTGCTGTCTAAAGAAAATAGTAAGAGTATTGATAAATATTCATATTTTCAATAAACTACTAGATTAATGCCCAAACCACCAGCACGTGTACAAAGTAGAAAAACAAAGCAATCTTTGTTTTCCGGTTTAGAGAATCTGTCAATGGCAGCTTGACGTTCACTCCCACTAAAGATTAGAGAATTTATTTTGATCAATAGATTTTTAACCGTATGTTTCCATCAATTCGCTCAAATGGGTACCCTTTGATATTGAAATACTCCTCGAGCAAGTCCAAAACTCTAACCTTTTAAATTAAAAAAGAATTACATTCATCCAATAAAATTCAAACCATTTGCGAGAAAAGCAGCACCCTATGGCCATCGGCGCGTAATTTAGGAAGCAATTTATCAATGAGGACAACTTTGCCTGAACTTGAAATAAGACCAATAACATGTCGTTCCTCTTCAGATTTCTCCGGATAAATATGCTTAAGCTCATTAAGAATCTGCTCTTCAGCACCATTAATTAAATATGGATGGCTATAAAATAAGGAATAAGTTATTTTTAATTTTAACAAAGAAAAACGATTAAAAACCGACCAACAACATTTACGCAATTGCATCATTGTGTTAATTAAAGAAGGTGTCGTTCCTTTCATCAAATGCGTAAAATTGCGTTCGAGAACTGCTCGATAATATTTCTTTTGAATGTTTGATAATTGGACCTATGAATTAAAAATAATTTTAATTATTAAAATTTTTTTGATTAACAAAAAATAATTTTAACCTCAATAATAGTTTCTTCTTTTGGTTGAAGTTCTTTTTCGACGTCTTCCTTCAAACGGCGCAACATCATAGGCTTTAGAATCTCTTGTAGCTTCTGAACCTGTTCTTCGGTCTGACATTGGCCAAATTGTTGAAGAAACGCCTCAGAATTAGCTAAATATTTATTAAATTAAATTTTGAAACAAATCTAATCTTAACAAAACTGACCAAATTGTTCCGGCTCGAGAAAGTTAAGAAGAGAGAAGAGCTCTTGGATATTATTTTGTAAAGGAGTACCCGTCAAAAGAACACGATGGTTCATACGAAGGGAAAGTAATCCTGATTGAAGAAGTTTACAATTTCTATTTTTAATTCGATGGGCTTCATCTAGAAAGAAGTAATTACAAATTTATTCGATGACAACAAACCAATTATACAAACACAGAAATTGATTCGTCGAAGTACTTCAACTTCTTGTACAACAACTTTAAATTAAAAAGAGGTAAGAAAGTTGGAGATCTTGAAATCAAAAATTATTAAAATATACCTTCATATGTAGTAATTAATGCATCAAATTTTGGCACATTACGTCTCCTGCCATCAACTTTTTTGTAGAAAAATTCATAATCTCTTATTATTTTGCGGCTAACGGCACCTCCGTGGTAAACAATTGCATTAATTTCTAGAAAACAATACTACTAAAATATTTAATAATTCATACCTGGAGCCCATTCATTAAATTCGCGCTCCCAATTCCCAAGAGTTGAAAGAGGAACCTGAAAAAATATGTATAAAGTTTTAATAAAGAATTCTCAATTAAAAGTATTACCACAATGAGGAATGGCCCATGAACGCCGATGTCTAAACAATAAAAATATATATATGTATTATGAAGGCTCAGTAATTTTTTAAATATTTACCATAAAGCGAAAGAAGAAACACAATCTAAAATATTTTAGTTGAAATAATAAATCTCGATCATACTTACGCTTTGAACTGTTTTTCCTAATCCCATCTCGTCTGCTAGAATACAGTTTCGACCATTTATCCATGTCCACAGCAACCAATTTACACCCTCGTGCTGGTATTCACGCAGAATATTGTCATTATTGTAAATTTTATCTTTTGGGATGGCCAAGCGTGAGGAAAATTCCTAAAGAATATTTCTTGAAATTTTCAATACAAAATCTAATTATATTTTTAAAGTATTATGACAAAATGATGACAGACCTTAGGAGAAATTTTAGGATGTTCTTTCAATTTAAAGAGATCAAATTCCGAGCGGCGACGGAAATCCAACAATTTCTGTCTTGGTACATCCTCTTCTAATTCCCATGTACTGAAAGAAATAGCTTTTAAAAAATATGCAAAATAACATATACCTCTCTTCATAAGGCAATGACTTCCATTTAACGAAAACCTATTAAAATAATATAATGTCAGTGTACATTATTGATTAAAATATGTACATATTGTTGCTGTTCCTTTTTGTCGTAGGTTTCATCAAGGACACGGGAGACGACAGTGTAATCCTCATTAAAAAAATCGCGTTGATCCTCATCATCCTCTTGAACATCCACAGCAGTAGTGGAATCATTTCCAAATTTTAATTTCCATCGATTCAATTTGGAAGCCACGCGTTTGTCTCCCAAAGCTTCGAGCTCTTGAATCTTAATGAAAAAAAATTAATATGGATGAATTTCCTATTTCAAAGCTTAAACAAAGCAATAAAACAATAAAAAGATTTATCATATCTAAAACATCTCTTTATAGGTTAACAGGATTACCGTTTTCCATTCACAATGCAAATAAGATAGTCCTTTGAATTTTACATAAACTTCTTCAACATTTTCAGAATCTATAATTTTTTCAGAATCCATAATCTGCAGAGCTTCTTTATTTGGAATTGTTTCGCCATCCTGAATAGGCAATTTTGTTTCATTTGCATCCTTTTCGTTAGAATTTTCAGTTTTTGTTGGTTCATCTGTGATTTCTTTATTTGATTTTTCAGAAACACCGCATACTTCCTCATTACATTTTAAAGGAGTTTCAGTGTCAACTATTTTTTCATTATCATCTAACTTTAGGTCATCTTTTTTATCCGTAAGATCGTTATTCAAAACCGTCCTTTTTGCAAATCGAACGCCCAAAATCCTCTCAACAATTCGGCTTTCTTTGGTTTCCTATAAATTTAAAATGAAAAAATTTCCGATTATTTGAAATCTTAGATCAAAAAATATTTAATTTCCTTGAATATTAATTTCTAAAGAAACTAAATCACCTTTTGTTCAGGCAAAGGATTTCGAATTTCATATTCATTGTCACTTTCCTCTCCATAATTTGTCTTTTTATCAATTTCCTTTTTACGTGATGACCTTTTTTCAACAAAGAATTCACTATCCAACTTCAAATCATCCAAACATGCTTCATCTGTCGTAAAAGAAGATCCAGACTTTCTTTTAACACTCGCCCTCTTATTAATTCTAGGTCTTTTTTCACTTCTACCAGTGACATAATCCTCATCATCAGGTTTGTTCCAATCCAAAATTAAACGCTTCTTTCGTCTTGGTTTTGTAGTTTTCCCGCTTTGGCGAGTCGCAGCAAAAGAATTATAAGGATCATTACTTGTTGTTTGAAATGAAAATGCAAAATCATCAACAGGAGTAGTTTCATTTGTTGAAGAGTCACCTTGTTGAAATTCCTCAACTGTAGATTCTTCAAGCTAAAAAGGCAAAAAAAAATTTTTTAAGTACTAGCATAAGTAGATTGGGCAAATACCTTTTCAGAAGTTCCTTCTTCCAATTTAGTCTCAGACGTAGATTGAATTAAATGTTCACTTTTTATTTCAATAGTTGTTTCCACCTCTGGTTTCTGTACGTTCAAAACCTTATCAGCTTCTAAACAATCACTGTCATCTGTAAATCGCCGTTTTATTCCCCTTTTTGTTTCTTTTTTGTTAATAATAACATCATAACTCCCAGTTTCTTCATTAATATCTTCTTCGTCAAGTGATTTATCGCTTAAAAGTTCAGATTTTTTCAAAGAACTTTGTGGCTGTAAATGTCTTTCTTGAATTTGTTCAACAATATCAGTTCGTTTATCATTACAAGTGACTTCCAATTCTGAAATTTAAACTTTTTTAAAATTATCTTAATACAATGAGAAGGAATAGCCGAAAAGAATTTACTTAAAAATCATAGAAATTATGTAATAATAAATTTTTGACCCTCCCGTGTTCTCAAACAAGGATCATAAATTAAATACAAACCTTCTGGAACCATATCAAGTTGTTCTGATGATGTAGCTTCATTATCATTAAATTCAATAGTTGTTTCCACTTCTAATTTCTCCATGTTCTGTTCCGCAATTTGAATAAGAGGCCTTGACGCTTCATATGTAGCCTCAACTACTTCAAGCAAATAAATGGGAAAGGTTTTGGAAAAATTTGCTGTTGTTTCGCAAGCCAGAAAGCTCAGACTAACGCTCGTCAGAGACATAGGGGGTGAAGGAGGTGACGGTAGTCTATTTTCCGACTCTAAATAAATTCAATACAGTAATGTAATAAATTTAAAAACCTGGTAAAATATTCTGTCGAATAGTATCAGGTGATTGGAAACATGGTTGATCGAGACACTTTACTTGTTCTTCTTGTAATTTTTGTTGTTGCTGACGGCGCTTATGCTCACGTGACAAATTCGGTGGCAACGGTTCAGGAGGAATAGAATCCTTGGCTGACGGATCTTGCTGCTGATCACCATGATTTGGAAATTGATACTGCCTTTGTGAGTCATAATTCATCGATTGCTGCATATCTGCTGCTACAGTCGATATAGCAGGTTGCGCTATGTTTGGTTGTAAATCTTGACCGTGGTAGACACTGATCAGAGTCCGACCAGGGACTTCAGGGCGAATGTTAACCTTAAAATAGAAAATTGAGATTATATAGAGACTTGAAACTTAATTCCGTTATATTAGGCATAAAAACCGACTTGCACTTGATTAGATGCAGACATAACCGCTACTGATGGCGAGGACATACTTGGAAGAGGAGGAATGTATTGCTGAAGCGATGCAATCGGTTGTTGGTGTTGGTGCTGACGTGGTGACAACGGCTGCTGAACCACATTTGCACAAACAGTGTTGGAGTGATAAGGAGCCGGGGGTATTGGAGGCGCTGGATGATATTGTTGCGAAGAAAAGTGGGGCTGGATGCTATTTTGCTGCTGCGAGTATGGATTTAAATTAGGATTTACTAGTTTCTGTTGGTGACCAGCTGAGAAATGATGCTGGGATGATTGCCCACTGTAATGTGGTGAATATTGTCCAGCTAACTGCGGTGGTATGACAGAATGAGAAGTCGTGGACAAATGCATTTCTGTGAAATTAAATCAATAATATAAAAAAATTGCTTAAATCTACCTGTAGAGTGCAGTTGGCCATGCGCTGTTTCAGAGCCCATTGCAGCAGATACTGCAGTATTCATTGCGTAATTAATTTGCATCAATTGTGCATGTAAATATTGCCTTCGAATTTGAATCTTTTCCACCCTTATTGCCAGCTCTGGATTCTGCTGCACTTGTGGTATTAAAGAAGCTAACTGTTGATCGCACTCGAAAAGTTCACGATAAATGTGTTGGTGTTGCTGCTGTTGTCGAGTTATATTATAAGGATGTGTTAAATAAGGCTGTTGTTGATATGGTGATGATATTCCGATCGAGCTATTACTTGGTCCTGCAGAACAATCTGTCCATAATTTATAAGTTTTTTACTCGTTAAATGAAAAATCATTTAGGGTTTATTGTTTTATGTGAAATACTAATTTAATTTTTATAAGTTGGATAAAGTTCAGAAACAATCTACCTTGCTTCTGAATAAAATTTGACGCATATCCAGCTTGATAAGGTGCAGGATAACCAACAACAGCCGGATGAGCAGTATTAACAGTTCCTGTTTGCAAAAATTGTTGCCTGTTAATGTATGAGCCTTCAGATTGTTGCTGCTGATATCCATCTACAGAATGAACGCTCACTGGTTGTTCATGCTGATATGGTACAAACACGGAACCACTCTTTTGTAATTGTTGTTGCTCGTCAATTTGAGATACTGATTTCACTGCCTGTGTTTGGAATTTTTGTTGTGATTGGACTTGTGCATATTGTTGTTGCTAAAATATTTAGAGTATAAATAATCGCATTTTTAAAAATTGACTTTGAACTGCTTATTTTAAATAAATTATTTAACACCATATTATTAAATATTAAAAATTTCTGCCTGTCTCGATGCAGTTTGACCATATTGTGATTGCATTTGTTGTAAAGTACCATAAACTTGCTGATTTTGAATATTAGAAAATCGATATTGATTAGCTGAAGTTGATTCCGAGGTCGAGAAGCCTGCAACTAAATATGAATATTGTATCTCAGTATACTAACTATACATGTTTCACATTTAAATTTTTTAATTTAAAATGTACCAGATTGGTGCGGTGCATTCTGAATTGATGCCTGACTGAGTGCAGAAAGGTTTGCAGGTGGACCTGGACCTTTGAGATTACCCAATTGTGACGCGTTCGAAATATCATAGGGTTGATTCGTAATATGCAATTGATTATGAACTTGCATATGCTTTGTCGACTGAATTCCTGGAATTTTTCTAATAAGATATCCAGAGAGGTTTATTAGTTTTTCTGGTTCGAAAACGTGAACCAGAAAAGTTCACTTTTTTGACTTTTTCTTATACCGACCTAGTCTAAACATTGGTATAGTATATAACCTTGTGGTTCTAGCTGATGTGAAGTTGAACACTGATCAAGTGCCATAGCCTTTTTGCTCTTTTTTGATCCTCTAGCACCTTTAGTAGATTTTGTATTGGCTGCAGCAGAAATCTTGATTAAAATAAACAGTATACGTTTTTATCATAATATTACTATGCCCTGTTGAAGAACATTTTGACGCGAAGGGTCTCCTGCCATATAGCTGGGATTCATAGTATCAAAAGATCTAACAGGTTGACTCTGCATTTGATAGTTCATCATCTGAGATTGAGGTCCAGAAGACACGAAATCGTTCGTTTGATAACCCTGTATTAAGTTAAATTTTTGAAGAATTCAATACTTATTGAAAATTTATTTTGACCGCATGCACTGATTTAAATGTATTTTAAATCGTACAGACTTTTGTCATATGGAATTTTATCATTTACTTGATTAATAATTGATTAAACAGATTGATAATCCATAAAAGAACCTGTCCTTGTCCATACTCGCCAACGCCAAAAGGTTGTGTAGGCATTATACCCATACCAGGGAAGGGACGCTGATGATGCTGACTCCTTCCAGCCACTGGAATACTTGCTCCAGCCACACCATACAAATAAGATCCAGAACCACTAGGTCCCATAGTGGAAGCCGAGCTTTCAACTCTCATCTGACTACTTTCATTATCTTGTCCTAAATTTTGCCAATCCATTGTGGATATTTGTGGCACGTAGTTGTCGTAGTCGTCGTCCATAACTTATTGATTTTAGAATATCGATTTAAATATTTACTGGCAAATAAGGGATAATTTAAATTTTTAAAATAGAAAATTCAACATTTTATGCTTAAATATTATAAGGAGAAAGCTTTAAAAATCTTAAGGAAAAAAGCGCTTATGACGTTTGTTTGACGGTATGCTGGGTGGTGGTGGCAATCGATTTAGGTAGGATGTTGTCAAGGCGGCGGTATGAAGAGGCAAAAATTTAAACTATTATTTGATTCGAATTTAAAATTATTTATGCCGAGTTCAATTTATAAAAATATGAAGGTTGTTCAGAAAAGCAGAGTTATAAAAATAAACACGCTAGTTTGTAAAAATTGAGAAAAATTTTATAATTAAGATTTCGATAATAAAGTAAAAAACAAGCACTGTATTATGGCAAAACAAAAGAATTTTGAATTTTTAAATTACCGTATTTCCTATATTAGAGCCCCATGGGGCTCTATTTTTCAACTATCCTCCAAGGTGGGGCTGTATTAAAGGGTGGGGCTCTAATTGAGGGTGGGGCTCTATTTTTCAACCCTCTTTTGAGATAGAATCCCATTTATTATATCCATTGCAACTAGAGATAGGCCGGAGGGGTTGGTTGATAAAACCAAAAAATATCGAAAGACAATCGATATTTTTCAATTTTTCAAAAAAATTAAAATTTTATAAGCAATGAGTAACGAAATAATCGCAATAGTTCAATGAGGGTAAGATTAATTATAAAATATTTGTAGATTTTGACGGATTAAAGGGAATATTAGGGGACTTGTATTTGACATTGATGGATCATATATAGGTATACAAGCGATTTTAAGGGATTATGGGGAATATCAGAGGATTAATTTTATATTGAGAGATTTAGCGGGGTTAAGAGTGATATTTTGAATGAGGTATTAGTAGGCATATGAAGGGATTTTTTTGTGAAGAGGGATATCGGTGATATAAGGGATATCTATCGGGGATAAAAGGAATACCCACTATATCTCTTCCTTTTCCCCTTAGTTAATCCCTCATATTTCCCTTAATCCTTATATCCCCATGGCCCTTTATTTCCTTAACTCTTAATAATCTTAAAAATTATTGGGATATTTTTTATTTTTCCTCCAATATTTTTAGGTGGGGCTGTATTAGGGGTGGGGCTCTAATTGAGGGTGGGGCTCTATTTTTCAACTACCCTCCAAAGTGGGGCTGTATTAAAGGGTGGGGCTCTAACAGAGGGTGGGGCTCTAATATAGGAAATACGGTATAAATAATCGTATAAGCAAACAGTTTTTTGAATATTGTTAGATTTTATCATGTCCGCAATTTTTGTCAAATTATCACACCAAACAGTTATTTCATCTATTTTGCCCCTTACATTTACTATTTTAATTCAACAACAATGTTTGTACGTGTATTTTCTACCTTTAGATCAACACCGCGTAAATCAACACTGTCAAAAGCCGCCTCCCCCAATGCGTGTAATCTTTTGTTCCAATCAATTTTTAGTTGTCAGTTCGTGTCCTAAACTGTAAAATTGGCGAGGAATGCGAGCGTTTTGTTATGGGGAAAAAGTTCTGCCAACGTATTTAGTATTTCTATAAATATTTGGAGGTCGTCACAAATTAAACATTCACAATCTTCACCGCAATCAAATAGTGCGCACACCAGTATTTCGTTATAGATTTGATTTGTTAGTCATCCTTTTACTTATCAAATAGTTTCCCTTGATGCCATTGTTATAAATTTATTGTTCTAATATCCTTAATTTACAGCTTTCGAAAGAAAACGATACATCTCACTTATCAACTACGTATTCTCTTTAAGTTTAATATAATTTTATCCAAATTTTGTATATATACCTAATTTGATTAAACAGACAACATAGTAAAAATGTAAGTTTTAGAAATAAAACATTTGGAAAGTTTAAATGTTGTCAGAAATTTTTAATTAAATACGAAAATATTATTCTGAAGGACCTTTACTTTTAGGGAAAGAAGTGATGTTAACAGATCCGCAGGTAGAGGTCTTCCACGTAGGTCATTTACCGACGATTTCTTTAATGATCCGTTTGACAACTTTAATCCGATATCTCATCCACGTGGATTTCAAAGGCGCTTCACGGAAAGAGGTCTGCCTGTTCTAGTATATATTAATTATCCTGTCAACCTTAAAGGCCTTTTCGACGATGATGTTGACACTTTCTTTGACAGATTTTCCGGGGAAAGAGAACATCAAATTCCATTTCGCGATGAGCCAAGTCTCTTCCGTTCCTCGATGCCTAGAAGACATTACAAACCACAAACAGATTTTCATGGTAAAAATGAACACAGCAGCGTTGAACGTCCAATCCCTATACAGCTTAAAAAAGCAACATCATCACAACCTAAATGTTCATCCCCAATTTTAAAGGAAGATGTTTGTTTGAAAAACTCTTAATTAAAATTTATAAAATAACAGGATGAAATACTCGAGAACGTTCACCGAATTCCTATTCGACAAATGAATTCAGGTGATAATCAAAAGGAACAAAATCTTGAGCCAAAAAATGCGTCCGTAAAATCCGAGCATAATATCCTGCCAAATGAAACGCGAATAGGCCCTAATCCAGCAGATAAAAGGCGACGGTTCTCCAATTGTCAACAACAAAATGGTAGTTTTAATTTTTTCCAAAAATTTCATATTTAATTTTTGAGAACACAATTATGCTAACAGCAAAAGCCAATTTAAATCCGTTCCGGATATTGTAATTGATGATTACAGTGATAGAAGTGAACTGACGAAACCTGTTGCAATTCCATTACCCGCACCAGCCATTCCATTGCCAGCACCTCAGCATAACGATAAATTGGAAAATGAAAAGGATCCAGATCTGGAGAATTTAAAACGTTCCGAAGTAAATGTGTCAGAGAATGAATATACTACGGTAGGACAATATAATGCTGATTGTAAAAATGGAGAAGCTGAGACGTCTGATATCCACATTGTTCCCTTAGCTGATAGTGGCGAACACTTAATTCAATTACTGGATGATACTGAACGAAAAGTGGAAAAACTTAGGTATGCACATATAGGATTATATGCTAACAGGAACATTCTTCTATTGTAGAGAGAATGCTACATCCTTGGAGCAGGAAAAGGAAGCGATTTTAGACATGCTCAAAAATATTAAACTGACGAGTTCTCTTCTAAAATTGAACCATGGTTTATTTTTAGAGTAGGCATTTAGATTTAAAAATTATATCAGGTGACCGAGATGAACTAGCATTGAATGCTGACAGGATTATAAATCGTTGCCGCTCCGTTGAAGTTTGTGTTAATACTCCTCGAGATGAGCATCAGGATAGAGCACTTAAGCTCGTTAATGAAGTAAAATGACTATTTTAAGCTTGAAAAACCTTCTAATCTAAGGTCATCTACATAGCATTAAACAAAACAGATGACAAACTAAAAACACAGGCTGAAATTCAGGGATTTTTAAATGCTTGTATGCCTGAAGAAAGTGGCCATATTGGTAAATAACAAATTATAATAACAATTTGTTATTTCTCTTTATAGATGATAAATTTCAATCTCTTATTATTGCCTGTACTGCGGATGACCAAAAGGTACAAACTTTTAATAGGATTAATAAAAAAATAAGATCTCCAGAAAAATTACGGAAATTCCCTCAATAATTTTTAACCAATATAATTATGATCCTAAGGAAAAATATTCAAAATCGGACTTATAAGCTTAAACTTAAGAAAATCCGACGACGACTTGTAAAAATCATGGAAGAATTTGAACAGACTCAGCGACTCCCTAAAACAGATTTAAGCGAATAATATGAGAGTTTAAGGTCTAAAACCCCCATAATCATTCTAACGATAAGCATACTTTTAAACATCCTATAACTCAACCATCGTTAATTATAACTTAAAAGCATGTTATTACCATTGTACTACTTAAAAGTAAACTAATAAATTTTTAAATACTTTTTTATAATTTTAAAATACGAGGTAAATAATCAAAAAATAAAGCAAACGAAAATTGAGATTACCTCTTTTGAAATAATAAAACATAAATTAAAGCATTGCGCATTTCCTCATCAGAAATAAAATTAAAATCGCGTAAAACAGCACAATGGTGCACAAAGTTGGAGAATAATCCATAAGTTTTTAAACGTTCACCAAATTCAAAAATAAAGCGTTTCTGTAAAATAAAAAAGGATTTTAGGATTAAGAGTTAGGAAAAATTTTTTTTACCATCAACACAGGCATTTGATATTGAGCAAGTTCCTTATTAATCGGTTTTCCAATAAATTCATTCCAGTAAACAAAGAAACGCTTTTCTTTGGGCAAGAGATCGGTAATCTGGTTGAAGCGCTAAATAAAAAAAAATTCGTAAAAAATAATAGAATAATAAATAATTGCCTGTTTATAACTATCCCGAATCCATCCTCTATCACAGTCAACACTACAAAGACCCACAGACGAGAACTCAACGTATTTAGATCCGTTAAAAGGTAAAACACCTTTGAAACTTGAATAAATTTTTTAAAAGTATTTTAATAAATTATTAAGCTTACTTTATTCCACTATTGACTGGCATAAACACAGATATTTTGTCCCTGAGAGAATTAACGGAAGATACAATTGTATGTTTATCATCCACATCCAAATTAGATAATTCTAGAAATGATGAACGCATAAAACGAGCCTTATTTCTGAATTGATTAAGATTAAAAAATATTTATAAAAGTCCACACCTGAAGACCTATTGATCCTAAAGCCCTACAACTCAACCATAACTTTAAGTGGGTATAGACCCCCTTATAATCACTCAAAATCCATCAATACCTCCTTAATCCCTCTAAATCCTCAATATTCCCTTTCAAAAGTTGCATGTCTTCAGGGCTGAACCCATTTTAAAACTTTAATTTAAACCTGAAAATTAAAATATTTGCTCCATTTTTTCCAAGCTCATTTGTTTCATTAGAAGTAGAAAATCTTATAATAAATGAAGGATCCTGAACACGTTTCTCTGAATTTTTATTACTTGAACAGTCATTCGCATCGTTTTTAGCATCAACATAAAATTTGAAAGTTAATGAGGGATAATTAGTCATCTGAAATATTATCAAAATAATAACCAAGAAAAAAATTAGATTAACTAAATGAAACGCTAAATGCCAGATATGATTGAAACGACGAGAGCAAATTAAGCATTTGACTGGGGCTTTCCAAGTTTGAGGAAATCGCCTGAGATCAGCTAAGGAAAGTGCAGAATCTTGAATTACACTAGGATTTGAACCGGATATAAAGTAACTGAAATTGAAGTGTTAAAATTAGAATTCACTTATTGTTAGGCACAAGGATTTTGTTCAATTAAGGACTGAGATCAACAGATTCCCAGAAAAATTGTGGAGTTTTCAGAGAAAATCTGACAGAATCACAAAAAATGTAAATCAAAGAAACCAAATAACATACCGAACAGGCTTATTTGTTTTGTTGTTCAATTTCGTTGAAGATAAAGGACTGCGATTTTTAGCATTCAAAGTGGACTCATTATTGACGCTTGATTTTTGATTAATTGTTTTCATCGCAAGTCCAGGGATTAATTTTCTGTCATAAATTGAGCCATAACCATGTTCATTGGAGACTTCCATCGGAAAAAATATTTTTACAAAATCTCGTAGTAAATTTTAAAAAATACCTGCAGTATTGAACAAGAATCTCTAGAAGCTCTCTGAAAAATGATATATATATAACATAAATAAAGAAAGATTTAAATTGAAACCTTTGAAGATTCAATATTAATATCCTCAATCATTTGATAATTCAAATTTTTTAAATCAGCAAGTCCACTCATTTCATTTTTATTTATAATTGAGGTACTTAATTAAAATAATTATAATAAATAAATTTAAAAAATTACTTTAGATATATTCCTTTTGAACTAAAAATTGGAGTAAAAACTCTACTGAATTGGTTCAAATTGCCAGCTTCATTTTTATTCAATGTTTGTTTGTTTATCCATTTCCCAATTAGTCTAGTTCCACGAAGTCTAATTTTAGAATTAATAAGAGTTGGAAGATATGAGGAAGTTTTTGTTTCATCTTGATGTTCTTTGGGAGAATTAACTAAAAATTTAGTAATCAATTTTAACGCTTACAATTAGCAAGTGCGTATCCAGAGGGCTGAGAAACGCCAAGGTAAACTCCAAAATTTTGGCGCATACCTCATGTTAGCCCTCCCCGAAATTGACCCCCTGGCTACGCCCTTGATGTTTACATTAGTTTTTTTGATATAAAATAAAAAATAAAAGTTTTGTTACCAAACTTTGCTCCAGAATAGCTACTTCGCAACATTCTAATTCTCCTTTGTTGATGTTTTCCAGAATCAGAATTAATTGAAAGATCCATATTCTCATTGTTCTCATAATTGGTCACGTTGATAGTACCGGAATTATTCACCAAGTTGAAATCATCTTCCTCCAATCGCTGTCGTTTAGCCGCGATAAAGTTAATTTTTGTTTGATCCACTTTAAATAAACAATCGTTACCATTTGGCTGAATATCCAATTGAGTGAATTGATGTAATGTATTATTGCTTCTTTGACTTTTTGGATCTAGCATTCTTCTCTTCCTTCGTTTTACTCCAATTGGAAAACAAGTAAGAGCCTTTGGGCGATTATTTTCTGTAATTTGTTGAAAATAATTAAGAACCTAAGCATACCATTAATTACGCAGCCATCCACAACCAAAAGAAGTTGATCACAACTGTAAATAAAAATATTTATTGTTATCAAGAAATTAAAATAAAACCAATCTCCAAGTTCAGGAACCCAAATTTCCAATACTTTATTTTGCCGCTTCTTATCATTTACAAGACTAACGAATGTGAGGAGGTGCTCCTATAAATTTTTTAGAAAAGTAGAAAAATTTTAATTCAGTTTTTTATACCCAAAAATGCAAACTTCTTTGATCAGAATTGACTCCACAAAGAAAAACGTCAAATTTTGCAGAACAATTACCAACCGAAATGGGCGATATTGTATTAAAAAACTAAAATAAGTTAATAGAGAAGTACAAATTTTAAAAAATCAAACCTCAAAGGTAAGAGAATCGCTTGTAAAATGAGTACGTAACGCATGTTTGTCAGAACAAGTTGAAGAAGTTACAACGTACGGAATTTGATTGTTTATAAAATTTAACGAACGCAGATGTTTCAATCTAATAACTGATTGCTCCAATGGTGGTAATTTAACCTGACAATAAGATCTTCTGCGTTTAGACTTGAGTGGTTTGGTGGAAACATTTTTTTCAAAAAGAGATGAAGTACTTCTGGTAAAAATTTTTTTAACTTTTTTAAATCAATAAACCTGGCAACCGTTTGAGCAACTTTCCGCAAAAATCCGGTTCTGTTATGCCGATAAAACTTTACAACGTCGCGAGCATCCCCTAAAAATATTATTTACGTTTGGAGAATACTCTAAACAAAACCTGATACAAACGAAGGTGGATTCTCTACATTATTGTCTTGCTTTTTAACTATTTGCTGGCCACACGTAGGACATTTTTTTATTTTCATTAAACAAAATTTAAAAACTTGAAGGAAAATTTAAAAAATAAAAAAAAATTAAAATTTAAAACTTGAAACAGACTTTAAAAATTTGAAATAAAAAAATAACATAAACGTTAAGACACAAATTTTACAAAAAAATTATTAAAAGATAAACTTTATTAACAGCAGAAAACTTTTACAATGCAAAACTTCAAATATACTTGTACATGTTGCATATAATTAGTAAATATTCACGATAATTCTTGAAAATTTAAACAAATTCAAAGATACCGACTTTAGAAAATTGGGAACTTGGAGTAAAATTGAAATTCGTTTCTGATTTTTAGAAACAATGAACCGGTACTGCGCGTGTACCATAATTCTGGTTCCCTCTATCGCCATAAAAAATTTTTTGGAAGTGTAACATGTCGGAAATATGTAGTAGTAACACAATCGCAACGATGGTATCGATTCTAAAAAGCAGACCACATACATATTAAATCCGACCATGTTCAATATTATGAGAAAAGAAAAGCTAGGGGAAGAGGAAACAAAGTTCAATTTCACCTGATAAATTTCGAAGTTTGCGGGAGTAATCTACAGTTCATAAAAAGTTTTGTAGAATTTTGGAGATATTCTTAAAGTCTGGGATCAATGAATTTTATACATTTATTTAGAAAATAAAAATTGAATAAGTTTTCCAGTTAAATATTTAATGAAAACCTTAAAAGTAAAAATATATCCAAATTCCTTGACATAGCACATATTCAATTTCCAATTTCAAGCTTATTTGTTTTGCCTATCAAAAACACCGCTTCTAATATTTTCTGGAGGCCCAGCCTCATAACGACGCGGCTGCTGATTGTTGAAATAGCCAACACGTCGAAGATGTGGTGCTGCCCCACCACGTGAATTTCGTCGATGAAAATTATGCATTCGAACTGCAGCAGGACCAAATGTCACTTCATTTGTCATTCGCTGAAATGAGTTAGTATTTATTTTATAATTTTATTTTTATGCGTAAAAACAAAAAACCTCTTTCTTCCAATCGATTCTATTGTCTTTCCTGAAAAATTAAAAAAGTTAAAATGCTATAAAACTTTTAATACAAACCCAGCTTCTCGTTCCGTAGCTTCACAAGAAATGTTATCAAAAAATGAACGACTCTTGTCATAGTAAATGTTGTTTTTTGTGGATTTTTCAAGAATTGCAACTGCTTTATCGTTTGTTCCACCATCGATTTCTTGGGTTAACGATTTATCTAGAAAAAGATTAAACAAAAATTATAATGCAAAACCTTTTGGAGGCGATTGAAAATCTGACTCTAGATCAAGTTCAGCAATATTCTCGATAACTCCATCCACAGATTCAAGGAAATCTTCATTTGCTTTTTCAAAATCAAAATCGCCGTCGTATTTCCTCATGTTACGACCCTGGTTGTAATAATATTGGGGATGATGTGGCCGATGATCACCACCATAATGACGCTGTTGCTGAGTTACGTGGTGATCTAAAAATTGGAATAGAGCTAGATGTCAATTTATATTAAACCTTGCGCCTGAAATACACGTGGCATTGGCGGTGCCTGTCTCACATTAACATATTTATAAGGTTGACGTTGTCCTTGGATAGTTCCTTGTTGGTAATATTGATGTCGAGTAGACTGGCCAAATTTCCCAGATAATTGATTTTCATTCGTGGAAGTATCTCTTTGTTGTTGACGTGATTCTATTTGTGCCCCATATTTTTGTGTTTGTGGGCTTGATGCCTCAGAATCTTTTAAATTAATGAAATCAGGAAAGCTGAATCATAAAACTAACCTTGAGTGCCTTTACGCTCCTCAGTGGGCACATTAGCTGGCGGCTTTGAAACGGAAATAATCGCTATAAATGATAAAGACCCAATAGAAATAGGAAACATCTAGAAAATTTCGCAAAAACAAACCTGGATCATAAGTAATATCATCAATATCAGGCGTAGGCTTTGGCGTATCGCAAACTAAGAAAAAAATAGAATTGATATATTTTCTAGAAAATACCTATTAGATCCTTTATATCACTGGCTTTGAATATAATATAATCATAAACTTCTTTTCGAGCAGGGACTGTTACATTTGCCAATCTGTCTTCCGTACCAAACGATCGAACTGAAAATCAAAATTACTTAAAACAATGTTTACAAATTAACCTCTCGATAGTGAAATTGTAGACTCCACAGGATCAACTAAAATATTAAAAGATAAAAGAAATTTAGGTACTTATTCACAAAAAACCTTTATGCAAAAAACCTTCATATCGAATGTCCAATTGCGAAATCAACGAAATTTTGCTACCAATGTACGGAGTAGTCATTTTAATTGATCTAATATAGCTATAAAGTGATTAAAATTGATCCTAGATTCGAAATTAAAAACTACATAATGAAAACTAAGTAATTTTTTAGAAAAATGATAAACTAAGGGCCAAAATGATCAATAAAATCGAAATTCCCTGTAATAGAAACCCTACTACTATTTGCTACATTCATATTTATCGATTTTACGAAGGGCCCGAAACACACAAGGACTCTAATGTCGTTTTATGAAACGCTGTCTTGTTTCAAGTAAATAAATTATACCAAGAAGAGATTGAAAACGTTTGAGATAGTGTGCTAAAAAGAGATAATTCTTTAAAGTTAGAGAAAAATAATAATACAAATGATTTGGTCGGTTGAGTGCAGAATTCTTAGAGCACAATAACTACGGTAACTGAACCAGTTTTAAAAAATTTTGAAAATAAAACATTTAATAAAGGCGAAAACTCGATAAATAATCAATAAAATCGATTATTCCTTACTCAATAACTTTGCTAAATTCTAACTCACTTAAAATAAGACGGAATCTAGGTAGGTCAAAATACTAGAGACTAAATATCTTTTTTAGAAAAATGAAAAACTAAAGGCCAAAATAATCAATATAATCGATAGTCTCTGTGATCGATACCTTACCACTATTTGCTATATTCCAATTTGCTTAAAAACAAGCTGCAGGGATAGATTTACGAAGGCCCCGAATAAACACAACAGGACTCTACTGTCGTTTTATGAAACTGTCCTTTTTAAGAAAGATGGGATGTAACAAGAAGAGATTGAAAACGTTTGAGAGAGTGTGCTAAAAAGAGATAATTATCTATAGTTAGAGAAAAATATTAGTATAAAGATTTGGTCGGTTGAGCGCCGAATTTTAAGAGCACGATAACTACGGTAACCTGTTTCTGGAATTTTTGAAAGTAAAACATTTTAATAAGGTCGAATATTCGATAAATAATCGATAAAATCGATTATAACTTACACAATACCTTTGCTAAATTCAAATTTACTTAAGATGAGACGGAATCTATGTTGGCCAAAATACTTAAGACTAAGCAAATTTTTTAAAAAAATGATAAACAAAGGGTCAAAATAATCAATACAATCGATACTACCTGTGATCGAAACCTTACTACTATTTGCAACATTCCAATTTACTTGAAACAGGCTGTAGGGATCGAATTTACGAAGGTCCCGATTAAACACACCAGGACTCTAGTGTCGTTTTATGAAACTGTTTCCTTTTTCAAGTAAATGGATTATAACAAGTAGAGATGGAAAATTTTTGAGATAGTGTGCTAAAAAAAGAGATAATTCACTAAGGTTAGAGAAAAATATTAATCCAAAGATTTGGTCGGTTCAGTGCAGAATTCTTAGAGCACGATTACTACGGTAACCGAACCTGTTTAAGGAATTTTTGAAAGTAAAACGTTTTAATAAGGTCGAAAATTCGATAAATAATCAATAAAATCTATTATTTCTTACTCAATACATTTTCTAAATTCCAATTTACCTAAAATAAGACGGAATCTAGGTTGGCCAAAATAAAAATGGATAAGTAAATTTTTTAGAAAAATGACGAAAAAAGCCCAAAATAATCAATACAATCGATACTTCCTGTGATCGAAACATTACTACTATTTGCTACATTCCAATTTACTTAGAAACATGGGGGACACCGATTGGATATAACAAGTAAAGAAAAATTTGAGAACAGGAGAAGGCTCCTCCTATACAAAAGATAGATGCACCAAAAGATAGACAACCAATATTGATTAAAAAAAAGATCGATGCACTAAAAGACAGACAACCAATATTGATTAAAAGATAGATGATTAAAAGATAGACAACCAATATTGATTAAAAGATAGATGCACTAAAAGATAGATAACCAAAATTTATTAAAAGATACTGCAACAAAATATAGATGCATTAAAAGATAGACAACCAATATTGATTAAAAGATAGATGCACTAAAAGATAGACAACCAATATTGATTAAATGATAGATGCACCAAAATATAGATGAACTAAAAGATAGACAACCAATATTGATTAAAAGATAGATGCATAAAAGATAGATAGCCAAAAATAATTAAAAGATAGTTTCACCAAAATATAGACGCACTAAAAGATAGATAACCAATATTGATTAAAAGATCGATGCACTAAAAGATAGACAACCAATATTGATTAAAAGATAGATGCACTAAAAGATAGATAACCAAAATTGATTAAAAGATACTGCAACAAAATATAGATGCATTAAAAGATAGACAACCAATATTGATTAAAAGATAGATGCACTAAAAGATAGACAACCAATATTGATTAAATGATAGATGCACCAAAATATAGATGAACTAAAAGATAGACAACCAATATTGATTAAAAGATAGATGCATAAAAGATAGATAGCCAAAAATAATTAAAAGATAGTTTCACCAAAATATAGACGCACTAAAAGATAGATAACCAAAATTGATTAAAAGATAGATGCACTAAAAGATAGTAACCAAGATTGATTAAAAGATTAGAGAAAAAGTTAGATATTTTTCTAGTTAGAGAAAAATATTATATAATAGATTTGGTCGGTTGAATGCAAAGATTGAACTTTTGAAAAAAATTTAATCGGTAAAAATTTAACATTTCTCAATAAATTATGTACAAACTAGTAAATACATATCTAAAAACATTTTGATCATAAAAAAGTCAATTATGGTATTAATATCATCTGTACATAAAGATCAGTGTTTGTTTTTGTCTTTTTCGTCGAACACCGGATTTCTAAAATAATTAATTTAATTAAAATATAAAGCTACAAAAAATACATTTTGCCCGTATCAACATTTTCGAATTTCGTTCTTCTGCTGCTGTTATCATCGTCAAATGAATCTAATGTTTCAGCATGTTCGTAGACAGGATTTGTAAATGTCGTAGTCATTATATCAGAAATTTCTCTACTTTGGGGTAATTTTAAAGGTGATGAATGGAGTTCCTCAACGAGTGACTAAAAAATTTTTCAAATTATTATTAGAATCAACGGAAGCTTTTCAAATTATTGAAACTAAGAGGTTAACATGAAGTTTGAAATCTTACATTGTCACGCTGTTGTTGTTGAATTTGCCTATCTGCATCAAGTACAGGATTTGAGAAGGAAATTACGTTGCCATGAAATGTAACTACTGAGGCACCGCCAATTGACGACCCTTCACCAGAAGCCAATCGCTTCTTGTTGAGTACACTTTTGCGTTTATAAATTAGAATGGAGAGAACAGTCATCACCTTATTTGAAGATTTAATAGATTATTAAAAATTAAAATTTACCGCCAAGCATACTAACATAGCGAACATTAAAAGTAGCGCGTAATATGCACCATTTCCTGAAATTGGAAATTTTTGAAAATTAGGGGAAAATTTGGTTTGGTTGCCAGGTTTCTGCTAAAGTAATCCCAAAAAATCTATCAAATTCATACCAAATCTGCCGATCAACTGCCTACTGACTGAAGATGGTTTTTGACAAAATTCCCCTTCAAAATCACCACAATCACATGTTCCATCCAAAAGGCAATGACCACCATTCTGGCAAGAACACTGCTTTGGAATCTATAAGGGGATACAATTTTACTAGCTACATTTGTATAACCAACCGGCAGCTCTTCTATTCGAGCAGATCCACAAGTGCCATCCTAAAATTGATTTATCAGTAAGCTCCAAACTAATTAAAAGTTTCAAACCTCAAATTGTGTGACTCCATCAGGACAAAGACATCTAAAGCCATCTGAGGGCAATTCAACACAAAGATGTGAACATTGAACTTTTGCACAGGCACTATCTGCTCGAAGCATATCTCTAGCAAATCTAAAAAGAAAGAGTCGGTTATTTTTAGAGGTAAAAGTTTAACCTTTGTTGTATCCTCAATGAGTGAACATCGTCTATGGCACTAGCAACAAGTTGGAGTCGACTTCTGCCAAACTTATCTTGAATATACAAATTCTGCGAATCTTTGGATACTTGAAAATTAAAATTAAAAGATTTCAAGTTTTCTGAATCAAACCAGAAGTCCCTGTATTTATCGGCTTCCCAGATGTCCAAAAGAGATGATTTTCAAAAACATCAATAGCCCATGGAGTCCTTGTATCTCGAGCAACTGAAATAAATAAATTCATTATTTGAGTACAATTTATATTTTAAAGTACTCACTTGTTAGCCTACGCGAACCATCGGGAAGGCAAGAGTCCACCTTGGAAAATTAATAAAAGTAATGAAATATAAAAGCTAGCTAACCTTGTGATATTTAGGATCGCTCCAATAAATTCGGTTGTCACCTTAAATGGATTAAGGAATTATTAAAATATTCAATTTTTACTTACGTCCTTCATCAACAGCCATAGTTGTTGGTGAATAAATGAGATCACTAATGATTGTCTAAATTTGATAAATCATAAGGCAAAACAGAAACACAAATTAACCTGTCTCTTATTTCCATCCATATCAGCACATTGAATCTTTGCTTCAAACCCTGCATCTGCAAAGCAAATTCGTCCCAATTTTGGTAAAGTAACAATTGCTGTTGGTATTTGCAAACGTCCAGCAACGATCTAATTATTTAAAAAATATTTATAAACTAGAAAAAAACCGTTCGTCTATATCTTCCATCCGATGTTGTAACATAAATTACTCCATTTCCATCTGATGATGGTTGAGGGATAGGTTCACTAAAACGCTTCTTTCGTCGGCCAGCTGCCGTTGCAAGTGCTGATTTCTCGTTCAATTTAAGATCGCTAACAGTGGCAGTTATGTATAAATTTCTGGGAAATTATGCTATTTTTTAAATAAATAAAATTAAAAAAACCCTGTCAAGTAATCCACAGCCATACTCAAAGGCGAAATATTTTCTCCAAAGTTGACCAATAATTCTTGACCCTCGTGCTAAAATTTGAAGGATTATAAATATCTTAATGTTTGAATTAATACCGATTGATTGCCTTTTGGAAGAGCTGACCGGAACAATTTCTAAAAATATTTTAAGACTTATTGAATAGATTAAATGTTAAAATACATACTCGTTGATATGTATCCAACCAGAACATAAATTCCCGTCTAGGATCAAACTCAACAGCACCAATACTTCGCTGTTGATTTGATGGAGATTTACGAGTGGCTGCGTTAACACGTCCACGAGAACCGACCAGGCTTAACTGAAAAATTTTAGGAGAAAGTAGTTAAATAAGGAAATTTTTAGTGAACCTGAAGAACTTTGTCATCTGCAGCAATCATAATACGTGGGTGCTTAAATTTAAACGGAATTAAAAAATATTTAAATTTGTATACTTCTCCATTAGCACGACAATCCTTTCCATTCATAGCGCCTATAACAACACCAGAAGTGTAATCATCCACGCATTTACACAAATATGAACCCTTTAAATTTAAAACTAACCTTCTCAAAAATGTTTAAAATAAACCTTTGTATTCAAACACATTTGAGAACAAGTATTGTTTCCTTTGCATTCATCAATATCAATACAATCAGAAGGATTTCCAGGATCTTGAATTTTTTGAATGAAAATTGAATCTCTATTATGTAAAAAACCTGTAGTAAAACCATCTCGACAATGGCAATAATATCCATCTAAATTTAAATAAAAGCGCTTCAAAGCTTTTGAAAAATCCAAGCATACCCTGAACATCTGTACAAAGATGTCGACATCCACCATTGTCAGAATGTGAATGGCAACTTTTCCCGTTTTGTTTAATACAGCCAATCTCATCAGTAGCATCACCACAATCTTTAAAATATTTCATTTTTATCAAAATTTAATTAAAAATTTTTCAATTTCTTTACCATCCTTCCTGTCACACGCCAACGTTGCATTAATACATTTGCCATTGGTGCATTTGAATTCATCGGTCGAGCAATCTCCATATTCGGAGAAGGAAGAACACATGGCTATTAGATTAAAAAAAGATTAGATTGTAATCTAAATCCAAAACAAGCTTACAAAGATGTTCGTCAGAGTAATCATGTTCTCCACAATCATTAAAACTAAAACGGAAATGAAATCAAGATAAAGATTAAATTCAAAAAATTAAAAATAATAACCCATTGCAGAGTTGAAGAATGTTCAAGCAAAGCTTTGAATGAGAACAGCGAAAACGTAGAGGTGGATCACATTGCGCAACTTTACATTGTTCATTAGTTTCGTCCGAATTATCACCACAATCTTATAAAAAATTTTAAAAATTCAAAAAAATTTCTAAAAATATTTACCGTTATCTCCATCACACATAAATTTGCGCGAGATGCAAACGCTGTTAGCACATTCTGAAAAATTTAAAAATTAAATGACAAAATTTAAAAAGAATTTACCATATTCATTAGGTGAACAATGCCTTCTATTAGGCTATAATTATTTTAAAAAATAAAAAAGAAATCATTATAAATGTCCTTACATAATCATCACAGTGAGTCTCATCAGAAGCATTTACACAATCACGCCTAATTTTCAAGAAAAATTATAAACCGAAAAAATAATTATTATAACCTTCTATCACACCATTTATGTTCAAGAATACATGTCCCATCGTCTGAAAAAATATTTACAGAATTTAATTTTTAATAAGTTTAAATAAATAAAAAACCGCATTTCCGATATCCATCAGCGCACTTTCTAAGTGTACATTGAGATTCGTCCAAGCCATCGCTGCACTGGATAGTTCCATCACATACTTTTGAGTGCGGAATACAACGACCCTCTTAAAAATAAAATTTAAATCTCGAAAAAATAACAGAAATATTTACCGTTACAACGAAATTCTGATTCAGAACAAGGACGTGAGGTACCTTATTATTGAATAAATTTACTGTCTATCAAAAAACGGAAATTTCACCTCCACATTGTTCATCAATCTCGTCTGAGTTATCAACACAATCTTAAATTTTTAAAATTATTTTGAAAAATACTTAAAATTCCTCCTTGCCATTTTCGCTGTCACACATCCAACGCTTAGGAATGCATTTTCCAGAACCAACACATTTAAACTCTCCCTGTTCTTCACACGCCGGACAGCGAGAAGGTAATTCATCAGAACTAGTCAAAAAAAAATAATTTAATAAATTTTAAAAAGAATTTACCCATCTCTGCAGTCATCCTGCCCATTACAAAAAGCCCAATCAGGTACACAACGATAAGAGTTTAGACAACGAGACCAGCCACGGGGGCATTCTACTTTGTCACATTCAGGCTTTGGTTCATCACTTCCATCGCCGCAATCGTCTTTAAAGATTATGTAAATCAAGAGGGAATGTGTCCTTACCCTCGCTGTCACATTTCCAGCTTTTTGGTATACATTTATGATTGGAGCAGCGGAACTCCTACAAGAATAAAAAAACAAATACTCAATTAGAGGTTAAACACCCTGAGGACTTAATGACCCTGAAAACCTACAAATTTTGGAAAAAAAATATAAAGGGATCAAGGGGGATAAATGCCCAGCTCTATGGAGATAAGTACTCTTCAATCACATCAAATCCATCGATATCACCTTAATTCCCCCGTATCCCTCGACGTTCCCTTTCAAAAGTTGTCAATCTTCAGGGTCAATAGGCTTCAGGGATGTACTCCTTCATTGAAAATCAAAACAAACCTCAGCTGTACAATTTCTCGAGGCATTCTTGCAAATGTGTTCAGCCTCATCGCTTCTATCACCACAATCATCTGTTTTTTAAATAAATAGTTAATAAACATAATTTTTAATCAACCATCTCCATCACATGTAAAGCCTTTGGGAATACATTTTCCAGTATTTGAGCATTTAAACATCCAGTCATCACATGGCTTATCCTAAAAATATGAATAACGAATCAAAATAATTTTTAAAAATATTAAACTTACACAATCACGCTCATCACTCCCATCACCACAATCATCTGTAAATAAAGTTTTTTTGTTGAAGATAAAGTTAGATTAAAAAATCTGCCTTGTCCATCACACATTTGGAAAGGTCGTGTGCTATAAATGAACAGGATTAGTTATAGATTAAAAAAAAATTTTTCAAACCAATTATGATTAGAGCATTGAAATTCACCAACTGGACAAATACGATCGCCTTAAAAATTGGAGATAAAAATTCATCCCTAATAAAAATTTCTAAAAAATAACCACAAACATCCCGTCCAGGCTCATCATCTCCATCGGTACAGTCCTTAACATAAAAATATTCTTTTAAACTTATGAAATAACCTTTTCGCCGTCACAATACCACAACTTTGAGATACATTTGGAATCTGTCCCAGAGCAAGCAAATTGCCGTGACGTGCTATTTTAAACAATCAGAATTTTGAATTAAAAAAGATTCATTACCAATTTGCTTCGCAGTCGCGGCCATTGGAGAGCAAGTAAAACTGGTCTGGACAGGCACAAGAAAAGTTACTTCCACCGGCGCCAATAAGGCAGAGATGTGAACAGCCTCCGTTGTTATCCCCGCAAGGATTTGGCCAACGTGGCTTTAAATTTTTAAAAATATATTAAAAATTAAAATAATTAAAAACCTGTCTTAATGGGTGAACAACACGAAGTTCATTGGGCAATTGCAAGGTAGTAACTGGACAATATTAATAAAAAATTTCTTGGCAATTATAAAATCAACCTAAGACACTTTCATTATTTGCTGTCCATTTATCAGCTCGAATAACTTGCTTCAAATTCCAATCACTCCAAAACAAATATTCGTTATAGACAGTAATAGAGGCGACATGTGAGGTGAGTTTTGCTGGAATTCTGTGCCGGCGGTGAATGCCATCCTGAAGGTCCATCCAGTTGAGTTCGTTAAGGTGGGCGTCTCCCCAGAAAAGACGGTCAGAATAATAATCGATGGCAAGGGCATTAGGCCAACCCAAATCACGTTCAGCGATTTTAATAACTGGATCTGCCGTTCCATATGGCGCTGAACCATCCAAAGCGACCTTAGCTATGTACGGCTGGAGTGACCTGTAAATAAAAGAATTTCAGGAGTGTTATCAAATTAACAAACCATTCAGTGAAGTAAAGATAACCACGTTTTGGGTGTACAACAATTGCCTAAAGAAAAGTTTGGAAAAGAAAATTTTGTTAAATTTTCACCTTTGGCTGTGAAATTCTGTCTCGAATCAGTGTACGACAAAATCGACCGTCCAACTCGCAAACACGCAAAGCTCGGTCTTGCCTATTCAGACTGTACAATTTACGCCCAATCCAATCGACAGCAATTCCCTCTATGCCAAATACATTATGGCGCATTATTTGCTCATAACTGCTGGGTGCTTCACTTAATTTATGAAGTGATTTACGATAGATTCGCAATTTTCCAGAGTCTTAAGAAAAAGAAAAATTAATTTTCAGACAGAATATAACAAAACAAACCGAGTAAATAGACCATGTCATCGACTGAGTCAACATCCATTGAAACAAGATTTTCAAATCCTTGAGCTACAAGCTCATATCGAGATCCATCTTTAAGAATGTGAGATTATGTTTGAATCTTTTTAATGAAATTAAAACCTAGTGATATGAATCGAACATAGTGCTTGTTGGCCAAAAGCAGATAAGGATCCGGCTTCTAAAATTGATAGTAGAAAATTTCTAAGTAATTTAATACCTCTTCATTCGCCTTACAAGTAAACCCATTAGGATTTAATGTCATGCCTTCAGGGCAAGAGCATTTGTAGCTTCCTTGCTTGTTTTCACAGAAGTGGGAACAAAGCGAAAGTCCTTCTTAAATCAGAAAAGAAAAAGTTTAACTAGAATTTTCAACGAACCCAAACATTCATCTATATCTAAGCAGGATTTGTTATCCGCTCGATTTATTTGGAATCCATTTTCACAAGAGCATTTGTAGCCAATAACTTGGTCAACACAAGTTTGTTCACAAAGTGGATGTTCTTTTTGTTCACATTCGTTGACAACTGAAAAAATGGTCATTTTAGAGCCCACCACCGAATTTATAAGAAAAAAAACCCACAACAACTAGGACTTTCATCAGACCGATCAGAACAATCATAGTTGTTATCACACACTTTTTGTTTTTCAATACACTGTCCGTTTTGGCACTCGAACTGAGAAGCTCCACAATTTAGAGCTCCAGAGAGTAAAGAGGTTGCTGCGAGTCCAGTAATGTTGTGGGAGGAAATTTCTTCTGTTGAACATTGTTTTTCATCGCTACCGTCATCACAGTCGGCTGTAAATATTTTTTGTTTCTTTTTCAAATTTTAGCTTTAAAATAAAAGAAAACTCACAATTTCCATCACAGCGCCAAGCTGTTGAATATATTAATTAATAAATTATTCAAAAGTAGCCAAAAATTAAACTCACAATTTGGAATGCACTGAAATTAAAAAAATTTAGATCATTAAATCAAATTTTAAGAAAAGGAAGAGCCGAGTCCACCCCAAAAGACCTAAACCCAGAAGACCTACAACCAGAAGACCTACTCCCAAAAGACCTATTGACACAAAAGACCTACGCCCAAAAGACCTGTCCCAAAAGACCTACAAATTTTTAAAGCGAATATCGTGGGATTTAGAGTTCCCTTAATCCCTCTAAATCCTTCGATATTCCCTTAAATGTTGTAGGTCTTTTGTGCGCAGGTCTTTTGGGAGTAGGTCCTCTGGGTGTAGGTCTTTTTGGGTTGACCCCGAAGAGTCAATCGACCCCTAGATTTGCTATAAATTAAAAACACACCTTATGGTTTTTGCACTGCCACAGCCCCGGTTGGCACGATTGATATGCTATTATTGTAGGAAAATTTATAAGATCACATTTAAAAATAACTTACTGCAATTTGCGTGTTCATCTGATCCATCAAGGCAGTCCTATAGAATAAAATAGTTTAAAAATTTCTTTGCCTAGCTTAAGCTTACATTATCGCCATCACAAACCCACGCTATAATTTAAAGATAATTTTAAAAAATAAATGAAATGTGTAATAACTCACATGCGTGTATACAATTATTGTTTGAGCAACGGAATTCGCCTGAAAAATAATTATAAGTCGAGGAGATTTGATATTAATCAGTTTCTTAGGGCACAGACCAAAACGGCGCGCGGACATAACGGTGCAAAACCTTAACTTGCTGCATATTGTTTGACCCTTGTCAATTTTGGTACCAATCTCCCTAGCTCAATGAGAGGAATCGTTTGATACTAAAACTGGTAAGATTAGAAAATATTGAAGCAAGTTATGGCTTTGCGCCGTTATGGCCGCGTGCCGTTTCGGGCGTGTCCCGTTTCTTAGTCTCTTACCCTTGTTACAAGCTTTCTTGGCCACACCACAGAGAGCCTCACTCTCGTCTTCACCTCCAACACAAGTAACATCTCCATCACATAACCACGTTTTTGGGATACACTCGTATTTAGGTTGAGCCAAATGTTTGTTGGATTTACAATTAAACTAAAAAAATTCCAATTAAAAACCCAAATAAAAGGTAAAATCCTTACTTCATCCTCCATGCAAGTTCTGTTCCCACAGCTCTAAAAAATTTTATTTTTCAATTAAATTTGAATTTTATTTCTTACATGAGCAGTTGATTCATCACTACCATCACCACAATCATCTAACAAAAGGAGTATTAAAAAATAAAAATTTAATGATTAGCACCTTCGCCATCACAGATAAAAGCACGTGAAATACATTTGGAGTTGTCACATTGGAATAAATATTTGCCAACACAAACACGTTTGCCATTGGTATCTGTGCAGTTTGTGGAAGTCTGAAATAAAATATTTTAAGCCAATTTAAAAAATTGGTTACTTCGTCCCATCCTCCATCAGCACAGTCTACATCCCCATCACAAACCCTTTAAAATTAAATAAAAGCGAATCTCTTTTTCCGGAAGCTTACCAAGTTTCCGGAATGCATCGACCAGACGGACAACGGGCATAATGCTGTGAACAAGGCTGATTTAAACAAAACAAGGATTGCTCATCAGACTTTTAAAATTTTAATTTAAAGGAAAAACATTAGTAAGATCCTACCAAGTCTCCACAATCATCTGAAAAAAATTTACTTAATATAGGAAAAAAAAGTTTAAGAATTACCATATCCGTCGCACAAATCGGAGGGCTAAAATAAAAATAATTATATTACATAATGCCATACAAAAATCCTAATCAGATTTTTGAATACCTGAATGCAGACGTTAGTTTTTGGACATTTTATACGGACACCTCGACAATCAATGGGTAATCCAGGACAGGTTTTGCTGTTTTCATCGGAAACCTTAAACAAAAAATTTAGAGGATTTAAAGCATTCTCGGGATTTACATTTTCATCCTGACAATCAATATGGCCATCACAAACACGGCTTTGATTAATACAATGGCCGTTTGTACAGGCAAAGGCTCCAGGCGGGCATACAGTGGTAGTGGATGAACCAGATCCGCTACTTCCTGGACGGCTACCCGGTTTGAAGTTGCCGCAATCGAGTTCGTCAGAATGATCACCACAGTCGTTAACACCATTACAACGTCCAGATTCTTGAATACAACGCCGATTTGCACACAAGTAATAATCTTCTGGACAGAAACGTACGACTAAAATGTTGAGGGAAAGTAGGAAAATACGGTAAAAATATGGTCAAAACATACAGCAATAGCTGGGCGATTCATCGGATGAATCAGCACCTGAAATTGGGAAATTATACAAATACAAAGAGTATACGAACAGTCCATCTTTCCATCACAAGTTCTGTCCAAGGCAATGCAACTACCATCACCAACACATTGGAAATTATAAGGGCCTTCGCAGCTTCCACCAGATTTTGTTCCAGAAGCTGCGTCATTTGGTGCGCATTGAGTGGCTATGTCCTCACCAGGCTGTTTTACTATATGGAATGTATCGTTACAAGCACATTGAACACGATGTGCGGATATAGTTCCTCCTGCTCCACCACCAAGTTCAAGATCGTCGGCAGCCACAACGTGGCATATCTGCTCACAACCTCCATTGTTTTTCGCGCATGCATGGGCTGTTCTTTCGCTACACCACTGATTTCTTGTTCGAATATCTGCTTCGGAGGCAAAAACTCGCAGTGTTCCAGGGCTGTAATAATTTAATAACTTTGAAAATAAAAATATTTTGTTTGCCTTCTATGGTCTGCCACAACATTCTCATATGAATTTCCAGTAAATTTATTCATTCGGAAAATTCCGTTTGAAAGTGGATCACTCATGTAAAGCCAATTCTGCCAGATATCCAAAGATTTTGCCCGAAAACCAATTCCAATCAAGCGTCGGTTGTTTCCATCGTAGTCGATTGATTCAATGCTCTAAAATAATCATACAATTTTGGGAACAATTTTTATTCAAACCAAGCGGTTCACATCAGCCCAATATAGCCTCTGCTCGCGAGAGTCTACAGCCAATGTTGCGGCAAGACTTAAATCCTCGCGAACCAAAACACGACGTTGACCACCAGCCATATTTGCCCGTTCAATCCTGGGTTCATAAGAACCCCCTGACACTTTGTAACCACTGTCAGACCAAAAAAGTAGTCCTGAACAAGGATCCAAAGCCATAGCATATGTCCAGTCCCCGGTAGCAATTGTCATAATGTGATTGCCGTTAATATCGTAAGCGTAAACTTTGCCGCTTCTTCCAGTAGTCCAATAGACCTTTTGTGTAAACCAATCCAATCGCATATCAGATATATGCCGATTTGCTTCCTTAAGTTCAGGTGTTCGTAGACGCTCAGCATTAATTATTTGTCTGAGTTGTTTCGGCTGACTTATTGAGAACCAACTAATGTTTGCTCCACTAGGTGATTCGGTGACAAAGAAAATACGACGCAAATTTACGTCAACATCAAATTGTTGAATGTTTGGCATAGGTGGGAAAGCGTCACGCAGTGGAGATGAAGCTTTAATGTCTGGAACAAGAGTTGCATCCACAATTCTGTCACCATCAATGAACATAAGGAAAGAATCGGGTTCTAAAATTCCAAAAATAAATTTCAAAAATTAAAAGGCTTGCTTGCCTTCACAAATTCGCCCTTTCGGAACACCTTTAGCACATGCGCAGTTTGGAGATGACGAGCCTGGAAGTGCGAAGCAAAGCTGAGGGCAGCTTAACAAAAAAGGAACGTACTACATTAAACAATTATTAAAATTACGGTGACTTTCGCAAGCTTTCACTTATGTGACATGGCGAGTTTGATTTTGGTTGGGCAAGGGGATCGAAAGCAGACAAATCCGAAAGTTCTGGTAAATCGCCAATCATTGTACTTGGAGAAAGTAGAAGTGAACTTTGGTTTGGTTTACTAGAAGATAGAAAAAATTTGTGAATTCATAAAATTTTAAACACCTTGTTGAGGCAAAAACTTTTTCAAGTCGTCGGTCCGTCCAATACATCTTAAGTAAAAGGTTGAGTAAATTGTAAAGTGTATCAAGCAAAGTATAATTACATTTTGGCCAACAATTGCAATTCCAGTTGCTTCTGCAATGTCTGAACGAACCAATTCCGGCTTCAACTCACTGTTTCCATCAGTTGTGTGAAGGGCCATAGGATTTACACGGAAAATTCCATCCATGCCAGCATCAGTCCAATACAAGTAATGGCTATTTTAGAAGGGAAATTACTCGAAGGTATTTGTGTAATACCTATTAGGATCGACGATCAAATCAGTCGGTTCTTTCAGCTCAGTATGGACTATTACTTGTTTGTGAGTCCCATCTAGCCATGCTCTTTGGATGGTTGGAGTTTGACCCTGATCAGCCCAATAGATGTAGCGTGCTAAAATTCAGTGTTTGCTTAAAACTCTGACAGGGAGACAAACCAATCGGGTCTATAGCTAAAGAAGTAGGAGTTTCAGTTCGAGTTGTTAACAAAATCTTGCGATTTTCTCCATTAAGCTGAGCCACTTCTATGTTTGAACGATCCGAGTCGGCGTTCACAAAATAGAGGTTGGCTAGAATGGGCAAAATTTAAAAAAAGATACAAATACAAGCTCACAATTAACCCAATCGACTGCAACGCTTTTAATTGTAAAACCGCCAAAATTATTTTTTATGATCAATCGACTTTCAGATTCGCCCAGAACAAGCCGGGAAATGCCTTTATTTAGACCGGCCGCATCTACCCAGAAGATGGATTTTGAATCGTAGTGGAAGTCAAGCTGTGAAAAGGATTTTATACTAAACGATTTTTAAGTTAATTTATACGCTTGTTATGGTAGTTCCAGCCAATGGATCGAAGGCAGTGACCTTAGAACGAAGTGGATCCGTTCTAAAATAATCAAGATAAGTCTACATAGAGACTTTAGTTAATGGAACATACGGAATAGACTTGATGTAATTTTTCCCAGCAATTATGAGGAATGATTCCGCGAAGAGTTTACATTTGTTAGTCTCCTCATCCACAGCAAAACCAGTTCCACAAATACATGTAAACTTATTTTGCTGGCCTCGAGGGATACAGAGTTGCTCACAATTTCCATTATTGTTATGACAAGGATGAGATTCTCGAGTATTTGCTGGGTGGACAACATGCATATTAGTTAAATGCTCAACATTTGCTCTAAATTCAGTAAACTCAGGTGGTTGATCGTCCCCACTTCCAGTGTCCACATCACCCACCATAATTTTATCGAATGCTGTATCAGCATAATAGATGTGATTGTGGAAGAATGCGATAGCTCGTGGTTGCTTTGCAGCATCATTAAGAATGTAGCGTTTGTCTTGTCCGCTATAAGAGACACTCGTAATCTGTAATTGAATTTTCTTTGAAGTTCCATTAAAATATTTCCAACCCTTCCAGCTTTAGCCTCAGTAAAATAAATTCGTCGATTTACAGTATCCAGCGCAAGATGATCCAATTCAGCAAGGTCAGTGCTAACCAGAACTAAAGGGTTGTTTCCATCCAAGTCTGCACCAGCTAATTTAGTGGAAACACCTCCCTTGCCTTGATCCAACCAAAATAGTAACCCGCGGTCAGAATCAACAGCAATAGCAACTGGATTCGAAACGGCGGTCGGTGACTGATCGTTGTGCAAAATGACGGCGTGGAACTAAAGGGAATGTTCATTTTTGTAATTTTTAATGATAAGTGTATTCCCTTCTACTCCCCTTCCTTCAATGAATTCATGTAAAATTCACTTGTTCTCCCTGTGTTCGAACAACTTCAATTGTCTGTGAATGTTTTTTGCCGACATAAATGTTTCGACCATTCCAATCATAAGCCATACAAGAAGGATCATCAGGCGGTTGATTAGCGAGAATAAGAGAGCGGTTGTTGCTCGTTAGGCTTGCTGAAAGATATAACATTTAACGCTTGTTTAAGTCCAAAAATTTGCCAAAATTTAACCCTACTTTTATGGATCATTGAGCTTGACATGAGAGTTGCTGTCATTAAAAGCACAGGTGCACCATGTTCTAGATAGAAAAGTTCGTTGGTCAAAGGGTCGTATTCAGCATCCTAATGAAGAAGATATTAGATTTAGGATCTATCCTAACAATCTCCTTACGTCAGTATTCCTAAGCCCGCTGATTGGCACAATTCCTCCAATTTCATGTGGCAAATGTTTTTTATTTGAACTTTCTCCCTCATTGTTTAGGGCTGCTCCAATGACCATTGATTTGTGAACCTGATCAAATTTAAGATATCTCAATCAATCCTGATAATCTCACTAACCAATAGCATAAATGGCCGTTTATCAAGTACACATTGTCGTCCACCTCCACCTTCTTCAATGACATGACCACTTGGACAGAGGCATGTGAATGTACCATTAGCACCCAATGCACAAATATGGGAGCACCCGGATGTAGAACATGGGTTTTCTTTTATTTGTGGTTGCAAAACTGGATGAATAGCTATAACACCCAAAGCCTTGGAGAAGGAATGTGAAGGATATTCCCGACTCGTTCCATTCGGATATTTGGGATAAAGCTGAAGCCGTTGAAGTCGACGATCGCTATAGTAAATATGGTCTTCGAATATAGACATTGCATGAGGATGTTGTATAAGCTTGGTCGAGGCAAGAACTTGAACACGGCCTTAAGCATAAGTAATTAATTAGTCTAACCTTTACAAATCACCTTTTCCATCATAGTCAACAAATTCAATGTAATCCAGCTTGGAGTCGGCAAAATACACACGGCTAGAAAAGAATAATTCTATGAACATTGCATCAGTTTCTTGATTACCTGACAGTGTAATCGAGCGCTATAGCATTGGGCCAGTAAATTTTTGTATCGACCAAAACAACCCGATTAGATCCATCCATGTTAGCACGCTAAAAGTTCAGCCTAGTTAGGGGTTATCGTTTAAAAATTGCCTCTATGCGAGGATGTTGTCCCCAATCAGTCCAAAACATTAATGCAACTCTGTTTGAATTTGTATTTTAAATGATACAAATTGGATAGAATCACCTTGGATCCACAGCCAGACCTCGCGGTTGATCAATTCCTTCGTGGAGAAGAATAGACCGGACTAAAAAATTTTTTAAATTCTTCCAATTTTCTAATAAAAAAGCTTGCCTCCAGGCTTTTCAAGACTTGCAATTTCAATAGTATTAAGAGAAGAATCAACCCAATAAAGGTTTCTGCCGACCCAATCGACGGCAATACCTTCAGTAATGTCCAAGCCCTGCCCAATAAAAACTTGAACGTCTGTTCCATTCCGAGTGGCACTGTAGATTTTCTTATCGCGGATATCCGACCAATATATACGATCCTGAACTGAATCCCAAGCGATAGCAACGGCATTCTCGACCTGCGCTGCAAAAGTTCGCCAGTTCTCTAATGAGCTATCAGACCAGTATATGCCTAAATCGTTATATTCAGGATTAGTTCAATAGCATACGATTTCTGTTTGAAACATAAACACGCATGTCCTCACGATTCTGTGCAACCTTGCAGGTATGCTTATCTGCCGAAAGAACGTAATCAGTATCACAAGTACATGTAAACCCATGTTTTTCATCAGTACAGTGTTGTGAACTGAATGATAATAAATTGTTAAATACAATCCAATGTTCGTTCAAAAGTTACCATGAGCGAGGATCTAGGCATTCATTCTCAGGTTCACATCTCGTTTTATTAACAAGTTGTTCTCCAAGGGGACAGGAGCAAATAGGTCCGTCGGGCGAGTTGTGACATTTATATTGACATCCTGCTCGATCAGCAGAGCACAAGTCTAAATAAAAGAATGAAACACTTAAACAAGTCGAGAAACGGCCACCTCTTGAACAGCGTCCACCTTCATCAGATCCATCAACACAATGAGGCTTTCCGTCACAAAGATCTTTAAGAATGTTTGGAAATTAGAAAACCAAGTCTAGGTTACTTGAATAATGAATGCATTGTTCAGGAGCATTACGGCAAGAAACCTAATATTTTAAAAAGAAAGTAAAACGCTAAAAACTGAATATTTACAGTATCGAAGGGGCATTTGTAAAGAAATTGCGAAGCACTGTTTGGGCAGGTTTGCTCATCAGAATTGTCTCCACAGTCATTTACAGAGTCACAAACCCAAGTCTAATTAAATTTTTGAATAAATTTTGAAGACAAAATTTATTAACCGAAAATATGCAACGTCCGTTTGTGCAACGGAAATGATCTTTAGGACACGTGACATGTTGAAGTTGACAAGTTTCACGTGGTTCATCGCTTGCATCATCACAGTCTTCTTGTCTAATAATTTCATTATTTATGGGAAAGAATTAAAATTATTCACCCATCACATTTCCATGCCGCTGGAATACAAATACCGGAAGTAATACATTTAAATTGGTCAGCAGCACAATTCCCTTCACGTGGCAAACAACTTTCCTCATCCCTTAAAAGTTAGAGTAATGATTTTCTGAAAATCTGAAAATAACTAACGAAGCATCGTTGCAATCATCTTGGGAATCGCAATGATTTCTAAAGGATAAATAGTTAAGTTAGCAAGAGAATTTCTTAGAAGAGTACGCTAATGGTATGCATTGCCGACCACTCGCACATCGAAACTGATCTGGCCGACATTGTACTGGAGGACAACGTTCCGGATCTTCATCAGTTGCATCATAACAATCCTGAATGTAAAGAAAAGCCTAGAAAATTTTCTTAAAAATTCCAAACATTATCCCCATCGCAAAGCCAATAAACAGGAATACAGCGACCATTCGCGCAAGTAAATTGATTAGAGGAACAAGTGGCGTTGTGGCAAAGTTCGAGCTTTTCGTCACTCCCGTCTCCGCAATCATCTTTAAAATTAATTAGAGGGTAGGAAAAAGTATGGTTTAAAACTCACTATCGGAATCGCAACGCCATTGTTCTGGCACACACCTATTATTGTCACACTGAAACTTCTTGGCACCGCATTGTGGACGCTGGCCATCTTTGCAAAAGCGTTGATCTTCCTAGATAAACAAGCGTTACAAGTCATTAAATGAAAAATCTAACATCGGAGAAATCTCCGCAATCATTATCTCCATCACAAGCATACTGAACTGGAATACACTTCTTGGTGTTATTACAACGAATTGTTGCTTCTGGACATTCCACTTCTTTGAAACAGGAATGCCCGTTTTCATCTTGTTCGTCTGAACCATCAAGACAATCATCTATTTATAACGAAATAAGATTATTTATTAAATGTTGATACACCTTCTGAATCACACCGCCATTCCAAAGGAATACAACGCCCTAAAATTGCCAAAATTATTTATAACATTTCAGTAAAAACAACCGTTAGCGCATTGAAATTGAAGAGCAAGTTCATTTTTCTAAAATTAGAATTAAGTTGAAGGTTTGGAAAACGATTTTCTCAGTTAATTATACTTGAAAATAGGGCAGCAACCCAACCCTTCGAGGTCGTAAGCAGGGTTGGGGTTTACGAACCGGGCCGAGGTTCGAGTCATTCTTTTCGGACCTCATTTTTATCGAACCGGGCCATTCGAGTCTTTTTCGGGCCAAAATTCGAGGCCCGGTTCGGTTCGAAAGATCGAACCGGGCCCCCAACCCTAGTCGTAAGTGCCGGGGATCGGGGTTTGTCGAGGTAGTCTTTTGGGGAAAGGGGTGGGGGTTTCGGGTTTCTCCATCGTTTGGAGTAATTTTCTACCCTAGTTGTAAACATGTCTAACCTGTGAACCATTTCGAGGGCAAAGAGGTTCAATCGGTTCAAGAATATCGCGAATACAAGCCAATTCATTGTTTGGATTAACCTTGTATCCTGTTAAAAATATTTCTCAAAAAAAAATGATTTTGAAATTATCCACCATGTTTACATCCACATTTTTTAGTCAAAGGCATTGAATGATCATCACTAGGTAATGCAAAGCAAAAATGAGCGCAATTATGCTCCTGACAAGGATGTTTAAGATGGTCTTTAATTATGAACATTTTTTGTTAACTAACGTGCTTATTAGACACCTGGATATTTATGACTAGGATCGGAAGCAGGTTGATTCTGTGTAGAACAACCTTTTATTGAGAAGATACTCCTTTCCTCTCCACTGAAAATTTTGAAACATAATTTAAGTTAATTTGTCCAATTCTTGCCTGAAGTCACGAACAATGCGTCCAACGCCTCCGAAATTCTTGGAGACACGGCGAATGGAGTAAGGTCTTTGATGAACATAATAAATTTGGTCTCCAAGGAAAGTAATAGCCACAGGAATGGGGTCTTCCACAGGCAAAACGGCCCAGTTTTGTCCATCAAAATCCATACATGCAAAGAATTTAAGTAAGGAATCCCCCAAACAAAGACGACTTTCTGCAAAGTCGATGGCTAGACCAGAAGGACGGCCGATTGTTTGGTTTCGCAAAACGATACAGTTAGTAGCATCCAAGTTACAACGCCATATACGAGCCTTGGTTGAGAATATTGAACATTAAAACAAGGAAATAATCCTTACTGGTCTTTCCGCCTCCGCAAAGAAGACATATCCTCTCCATGGGTGTACAACTACAGAAACTGGATCTCGAAGTTTCACAAGCAGTTTACGTCGGACAAGTTGTTCAGGATTTACTAGACCCTGTATTGAATTTCTTTTCAGAATTTATTTTTTGTAATTCACCTGGTCGGTCACCTTTACAACCTCCAAGGAATTCCTTATGTTGTCACTTAATTTTGAAGCAATTATAACGGTATTCTTAAACATAAGACAAAACTACCCACATATAGTAAAGTTGTCTGCTCATCCAATCAAATGACATGGATATTAGACCATCATTGTGGGTCTTAAAATTTTTTTAGATAAATTTTTTTGGAATTTTAGAGAACTAACCACAAGTATTGGAGCCGATCCTTCTCCGTCTGGCTTCACACTAGAATTTATAATCGAATATATATTCACATTTAATCTACCGGTAAAGTGTATTATCCATAATATCAACATAAAAGAAGCTTGAACTATGGACATCACATTCAACAGCAAAGTACATCCCTACTCTACGTTGAGATTGAGGAGAAATTGGCAAAACAGCTTCGGCTAGTGTATTTTGTAGGATTTCGGGGTAAATGCCACGAATCTTTTGGTAGGAAAAATTTATGATTTAAGTAAGTATTAGACTCACAACTCTGTTGCTACTAAACAGCAAATAATCTATTGAAGGCACACACCGTTTACCGTCAACCAATTTCTAAATAAAAATAAAAACTATTAAAGTTCGTCCAGTCTACCTGGCCGATAGGACAAGCACAACGGTAGCCCACACCAAATCCGACATTATCTTTGGCTAGAAGACACATTCCCTCGCAATCGGCCTTATCGCACGGATTTTCAATGTGTTGCTGGAAGCAGTCACTGTGCGAGGGGCCGGGCTGTGCCATTTGATGATATGCAGCAATCCCCATTGGAAAAACGTTTCCATCTTTATTAGACCAAATAACTTCAGAGGCCGCTCCAAACTTTTCAACACGCATAATTCCCAATCTTGTCCAGTCTGTCCAATACAGGTATTGATCGAATATAGCTAATCCGAAAGGATGGGGAGCAAAATTTCTAAGAAATTCAGAGTTAATACGATCCGGAAACAGGATCTTTTATGAAATTCAACCTTCCAGATGCAATCTGTCGTCGATCATTACCAGAATAGTCAACTGATTCAACTCGGTCGACTTTCGGATCACACCAGTAAACTCGTTTAGCAGCGATATCAACAACAACACCGCTCACCTAAATGTTATAAAACTTGAGTTATAAAGGAACTCATACTCACTTGATGGGTGTGTGTTTCGACTATTACACGTCGACTTGTACCTTATCAAGAAATTTAAAGTAATTAAAAGTTGTAAATATCAAACCATCCATATGGCAAGTTTCCAATTTTAATTGGTTAGAAAAGAACATTTCACCCCGAAGAGCTTAAATTTGGCAATTTTTTAAACTTATCAAAGTCTAAACCCACGGTCCAAGGCAATATCGAGTGGAAGAGTAAGGCCATCTGCTAGCAAAACAGTGCGTTTATCGCCCTCATAATTGAGCACATCAATACGTCTTGAACCACTTTCGATTACATAAATCTTTAAATTTTGTTAGAGATATCCACAAATTGTATAAATTTACATTATTAGTAATCCAGTCAACGGCTAAATTTCGTGGGTAAATCAATGATTTAAGCTCAAATTTGTGCTAAAAATAAATTATTCAAACCAGACTTCAGCTAATAAACGTACGATATGTTCAATATCACCCCCAGAAGTGATATCAGCACGGTAGAGAGAGTGGGCTAGCCGATCAGTCCAGAATATTTTTCGTTTCTCGTAATCAAAATCTACTCCATAGATAAATTCTCCAGAAGCTATTTTTACGGCAGATTCTTCCTACAGATAAAATGAGGTTAGAGGTGAATTCTAAGCTGAATTCCCACCTTATTTGCTGGATTCAACCGATAAAGTCCTTCTCGGCGGGCAACAAAAAGACGCATTTGTTCAGGTTCACTAGAGATGCAATATCCTCGAAGTGTTAAATTATTGCTTCCACCGAAAGATCCTGAATTTGCCCCTGTGCTTTGTACCATTTGAAGTCTTTAAAAAGCAAGAGGATTCATTAAAAGCATTATAAGTCTACTTAAAGCAAGATCCTAAACAGCCACAGGTAAAACTAGGTCGGTGATTCTGGCAAGTTTGATCACAATATCCAAAATCGGCGCATTCATTAATGTCTTAAAAATTGTTTCTTTACTTCTAGCTCTCTCATTAATTCACAAAATAGCCTTTACCAATGCAAGACCGTTCGAAGCGCTCATCGAGTTTATAGCCCTGAGGACAGGTACAAATGCCACCGGTAGGGGAACTTGCACATCCGGACTGACATCCAAGCGTTTGACAAAGATTACGTGCTGTAAATAAATAATTTATTGACACATATAAATTAGAAACTAACAGCATGTTTTTTCATCCGCGCCACTATCACAATCCTGATAAAATAAAAAAATTTTTAATAAGCCTTTTAGCCTTAAAGTCCTGTTTTGACCCTCAAACTCACATTAACTCCATTACACAATTTTGACAGATGAATGCAATGACCGGAATTTGGACAGGGCCACATATCCGGAGGGCATTTATAATGACCACATTCCTCCTCGTCTGAATTATCGCCTAAACATTTTTAATTGTTAGGTCAAATCAGTAAACATTTTAAATTATTTACCGCAGTCATCATAGTAATCACAACGGAATTTTTGAGGAACACAACGCTTATTTTTACATTTAAAATCGCCTGTCTGACACGCTGGAAATTTGCATGTCGGTGGTTCATCCTTTATTATAAAATTCAAAGAAAATTCCAAACAAATATTCAACCGATTTGTCAGCACAGTCAGGTGTCCCATCACAAACCCAAATTTTTTGTATGCATTGGGTTTTATCCGCGCATCGAAATTGGTAGGGAAAACAAGCCTAAATATTTCAATGTCTAAGATACCCTATAGTTTAAATACAGTATGATTAGTGGAGCAAGAATCTTTCTCGTCACTAAGATCACGACAATCATAGATTCCATCGCATTTGCGAGTAATTGGAAAACACTAAAACAGACAAACTATTAAAAGTATTTTCGGAATGATTCCAGATTGTGTGAAGCTCTAAAACTAAGCTCTTAACTTAATTTTAGGAAACTTAAGACTTTGTTTTCCGGAAACTTAAGAACTTAGTTTTTAGTAAATAAGTTTTGATTTTCCAGAAACGTTTTAATAAACTTAATAAACTTAAGAAAGTGTTTAATTAACTTTTTCCGGAAACTTAAGAACTTAGTTTCGGTAAACTTAAGCTTATTAAACCGGAAACTTAAGCCTAGTTTTAAGTAAATAAGTCTTAATTTTCCGGAAACTTAAAACCTAAGTTTTAAGTAAATAAGTTTTAATTTTCCGGAAACTTAAGAACAAGTTTTAAGTAGATAATTTTAATTTTTCGGAAACTTAAAAACTAAGTTTTAAGTAAATAAGTTTGAATTTTCCAGAAACTTAAGAACTAAGTTTTAAATAAATAAGTTTAATTTTCCGCAAACTTAAAATAAGTTTTCATCTTCCGGAAACTTAAAATAAGTTTTAATTTTCCGGAAACTTAAGAACTAAGTTTTAAATAAGTTTTAATTTTCCGCAAACTTAAAATAAGTTTTAATTTTCCTGAAACTTAAGAACAAAAAAGATCAAAATTTTAATAATTTTAGGAATTGGCTTAAGAAGAAGAATAAGGTTTTTTTTGAAAAAAAAATGGCCATTTTTCCGGAAACTTAAAATAAGTTTTAATTTTCAGGAAACTTAAAATAAGTTTTAATTTTCCGGAAACTTAAAATAAGTTTTAATTTTCAGGAAACTTAAAATAAGTTTTAATTTTCCATTAAGTTTAAAAATAAGTTTTAAAATAAGTTGTAATTAAAACTTAAAATAAGTTTTAGTTTTCCGGAAACTTAAAATAAGTTTTAATTTTCCGGAAACTTAAAATAAGTTTTAATTTTCAGGAAACTTAAAATAAGTTTTAATTTTCAGGAAACTTAAAATAAGTTTTAATTTTCCGGAAACTTAAAATAAGTTTTAGTTTTCCGGAAACTTAAAATAAGTTTTAATTTTCCGGAAACTTAAAATAAGTTTTAATTTTCAGGAAACTTAAAATAAGTTTTAATTTTCAGGAAACTTAAAATAAGTTTTAATTTTCCATTAAGTTTAAAAATAAGTTTTAAAATAAGTTGTAATTAAAACTTAAAATAAGTTTTAGTTTTCCGGAAACTTAAAATAAGTTTTAATTTTCAGGAAACTTAAAATAAGTTTTAATTTTCCGGAAACTTAAAATAAGTTTTAATTTTCAGGAAACTTAAAATAAGTTTTAATTTTCCATTAAGTTTAAAAATAAGTTTTAAAATAAGTTGTAATTAAAACTTAAAATAAGTTTTAGTTTTCCGGAAACTTAAAATAAGTTTTAATTTTCTGGAAACTTAAGAACTAAGTTTTAAGTGAATAATTTTTAAGTTTCCGGAAATTTAAGAACAGAGCTTTAGTAAACTTAACAACTTTGTTTTCCGGAAACTTAAGACTTAGTTTTAAGTAAATAAGTTTTAATTTTAAGTTTTAATTTTCTGGTTTGGTAAGTACTGGTTTTTAAAACTTAACTGGCGTCCATCAAAACATTGAAAAACTGAACCATCGTTAACTTCGCAGTTTACTGGAGCTGCGGCTGAATTTTTCAAAATTAAAATAAATTTTTGTGTTATTTCAAAATTTAAATTTGTATAAAATTTAAAATCATTCTTACGACAGTCTTTTTCATCAGAACCATCAACACAATCGCTCTTTAATAAAAGAAATTTAAGTCCTAGTTTTCCTGTAAATTTAAAGCTTACAATATTATCACAACGCTGATACTCTTGCTGCAAAGTAAATTGTTTTATTTTGATATTTTAAATTCAAAATTAATCTTACAATGCACGAGACTGAGTGAATATCGTATTTATCGCCTACAATATTAAAATAATTAAAATAATATTTAATATCTTGTAAAAGTAAGTTAGGGGATTTATTAGCATTAATTACCATCCCTCAAATAATTACCCCATCTCCAGTGATTATCCTCTATAGCGATAAGTTGAAAAAATAATTATTCCCTAAAAATGTCTTACACCCGTTCAAATTTCAAACCATGAATGATTACTCTCTCAATTAATAAGTATTCCCTCCAACGAGGTCGAAACAATAATTACCCAGGGTATTTATTCAAGGAAACACGATAAATTATATATTAGTAACTAAAAACTCTCACATTGCCACTGTTCGGCTTTACATCCCGGGTGGGCTAAAAATTCAGATTTAAAAACATAATTCAGAACATTTCTTACGGCAATTGTTCTCGTCTTCGCCGTTTCGACAATCACCTGATAATAAACATTCGGTAAAATTAAAGTCCATCTACTCAGAACTAACCAGATCCGTCACATTTCCATTCTAGCCTAATACAGTGACCATCATCGCATCGAAACTCTGTCTCGGAACAAACTCCAGAGGAACTTCCAGAGGGACTTTGCTGTTGTAAATGGGAACGATGAGCTCCTCTATGACCAATACTGGGAGGTTCAGCATCTGTTGTAAAGACAGTACCAGAAATGAATCCAGGCCTGACACCAGGCGGTCCTCGATGAAATGGATGTGGCGGTTCAACTCCAAGTAAAATTCCTTTTATTTGTGAAAATGTTTGGAAAATTTTTATCCCAGCCGTCCAGGAATTAGGGTGGAAGGAAAAAAAATTTTTTTCAAGCTTGGGTTTGATAATTAGGATAATTTGAAATAAACGGAATTAGGAGGGTCTTATTTGGATTAAGAGGGATAATGGGATTAAGACAGTAGACGTAATCCTGAGTATTTGGACGTGGCTTCCAGGATTGTATCCCCCACCAGGAAGTTGATTTCCAGGAGGTTGACCTCTAGAGTCAGTTCCAGTTAACCTCTAGGATGTTGACACACAAGGTCAGTTGATCTCTAGACTCTTGGTTGATCTCTAGGTAGATTGGGATTATGAGGATGAGAGACAGAAGACGTAATCCTGAGCATTTGAACCTGGCCTACAGAATCAAATCCCCACTAGGGTGTTGACCCCCAAGGTCAGCTGACCTCCAGGGTCGGTTGACCTCTTGGAAATTGACCTCCCGGGGCGGAAGAAATTTTCCGTGATTAAATATTAACAAACAATATTTAAAAAATCTTAAAGTAAACCTACTTTGTATTGTATGTATAGGAAATTTTGTATCCAAATTAATACATAATCTTGGCAAGCAAAATAAATTGAGCAAAAATAAGGGCAACAAAAAATATTTAAACAACAAAAACAACATAATGAGTGTATGTATTTAATAAAAATACATTTTTAAATGCTAAAAATTAATAGAAAAATTTTTATGATTAATAGAAAAATTGGATGAAAAATTGAATCAATTTCCTTTAATAAATGACTATAATTAAATGACCTAAATGACCTATAATTTAGATTGAATTACGCTGTAGAAATAAAATAAAAGAGAAAAGATCTGACCCATTAACTCAACGTTTCTTTAAAATAAAAAAACTTAATTTCTCATAATTTGAGGGAATTTCAGCCCTGAAAGGCTGTAAATGGCAGACGGGAAGGCGAAAACAACCCTCAAGAATATCCTCTGCGCATGTGCGACGTGCATGGGGTTGCGCTAGTTGTGTAGCAATATCGACCGATTGCTGATACTTTTTCTGCAGCTAGTTGGCTGTCGATAGATCTTATAATCTTTATCCAATCAATTATGTTAAACAAGAAAGGGTAAATAATAAAATAAATTGATTATCAACTAGAATATCTCATAATCCAAAAATTATTTTAGAAAGAGGGGAGGGTTATTCGGTAGGGGACAGACATACCTATTTGAATTGTGGTGTCAAAAATAAATAACTTCTTGAGTGATTACGATAGTTCTTAAGCATTAGAACACTGTTCTTCAATAGGACAATGTACTATCGAAGACAGTGTCCGTAGGTCCCGAAATCAGTAGGGTACCTGTTCGTACATTGAAGAATCCCATCCCGATCAGAGATGGGCGAATATGCGTTTTGTGACCTTTTTTCGTTTTTTCGCCCATTTCTGGTCCCGATATTCCAGCTCCGGGTTATTTTAGTGAAAATATTGTTAAATCCCTTGAACTTAAATTATTCCAGAATAAAAATCAAAATCTCAGACACTTGCCAATAAATTCTCGAAAACAAACTCAAATATAAATTGAAGAAGATATGTATTTTGTGCCTGTTTTTTCTTCGCCCGCCTCAATGTTCATCGGCCTTCGCCAAAATCCCCATGCAATATTAACGATCGCGCAGCGGCCGGTGGTGAGAGAATAAAGAGAAGGAAAAGGGGGAAAAGTAGATATGATTGGTGATTGGTATGAAAATAAATTTTTTGAATTTATGATTAATCGAAATTATTATTTAATGAAAATAATATGTTCAAAGAATATAAACAAAAATTGGTAACTGTGAACTTTGTATACCCTTCCTATTCTTCCCCAAATCTAAGGCGATTAGTACCTAGCTCTGCGTGTTAGAACCTATGTATGGTTCGGTATTTTGCGTGTGTAGAGAGTCTAACTTTGGGAAACTATTGTCAAAAATTTTATGCCAATATCTGAACTTACAAAAAAAAAGACATGCTCAAATTAAATGCAATGGGCTCCTTGGATGGGCTTATATTAGATATGGGCTTCTAATAGAGCCGAGCTTTAATTAGGGCATTTACGGTAAATTTGGGAAGAAAATAAAAAAGGGGGTCATGCAAAGTTCACAATTACTCAAATTTTCAGTAAATGTCCTATTTTAAGCCCAAAATCCTCTAATAAGATTTCCCAAAGAAATACCAATATAAATTTACCAGAAAAAATTTTTTCGGGTATTTATTTTAATTAAAAGGTGTGGAATAATCTAGAATGATCTTCAACACAAAAGGATGATAAGACAGTTAAAAATGAATATTTGGCGGTGAATTTTTTTGATGAAAGTAACGTCAACACAAAAATGATTACTATCATCGCATAATGAGCACAGCCAAAATAAACCGGCATAATTTAAAAAATAAAATGTCAAAATTAAAAAATGAAGAAGAAAATGTGAAGAGGGGAGCAGGCCAGTGTACCGCCGAGCTATAACTTCGTCCAAAATTGTCGAATCCGTGGCGTCCTGGTATGGTTCGATGCGTCTCGACCAGCTGAATCGAACCATACCAGGGGCCACGGATTCGGCAATTTTGAACAAAGTTATAGCTCGGCGATACATTGGGCTCGCGGTACATCGGAGTGTACCCTGTGAAGAGTTCTATTAAAGTTCTGATCTAAAATTAAATAAGAAAAAAGGATCAAGAATGATAAAAAAATATTTTTTTGCTCTCACATGCTGGTCATTTTTATTTTTATTTTCGGGAGTAATTGGAGATGGCCGGGGATAGAAAAAAATTTTGTGGGGGAAATGTACAGTGCGCGGATTGTTGTTAAAAATGAGGAGAGCAAAACATTAAAAATATTTTCTAAAACTCTCTCAACTAGCGGAAAAGATTTATATTTTACAGACGGCGAAATAAAAACAAAACAACACCTCTAGCAAATTTACTCTACGGACAACCGGTCTAGCTAGGTAATTGTTTGACTAATTTTGATCGATTTGAGAAAAAATATGATCAATTTTAAATTTTGAAAAATTTGAATTAACTAAAAATAATATTTTTAAAATTTAAATAGAAGCAAATAGTAAGAGGACTTTGTGTTAGATTTTTGAAAAAAAATTTAAGAGGGTCAGATCCAGGGCTGTCCGCGATTGAAAAATTTTTCACAGCCGCAATCCGCAATAATTCTAAAATCCGCAAATGTAATCCGTAACTGCGGACAGTCCTGGTCAGATCCTGATTTGAACTAGAAGATAAACATGGGTCAGATCAAAATTAAAACAAGGATCTAGTCCAGGAACAGAGTTTGAAAAATTTGAATTAACTAAAAATAATATTTTTAAAATTTAAATAGAAGCAAATAGTAAGAGGACTTCGTGTGAGATTTTTGAAAAAAAAATTTAAGCGGGTCAGATCCAGGCTGTCCGCAATTGAAAAAAATTTTTCACAGCCGCAATCCGCAATAATTTTAAAATCCGCAAATGTAATCCGTAACTGCGGACAGTCCTGGTCAGATCCTGATTTGAGCCAGAAGATAAACATGGGTCAGATCAAAATTAAAACAAGGATCTAGTCCAGGAACAGAGTTATCTCTCTAAATTGGAGCTGTCTCGTAATCAAAAAAGTTCGGGAACGCTTTCTGAGTTCTTCAGAAAATTATTCAAAATCATCAACACTGATTTTGGGTAACTGATTTTCTTATCATAGAAAATGTACTGACACTGAACACCATACAATATAATATTAAAAATAAATGGAATTAAAAAATAAGTACAAAAGGTAATGATGAAAAATGAAAAATATTTTTCAAATTTATAAATATTTAAAAACAAACTCGCAGTCAGACGCCCTTTTCTCATTTCGGTGCTACCTGCCCCCTCTTAAAAAAATTTTACTTTAAAAATATTTTTTTTTCAATTATTATTTAACAGCAAAATATTTTTTTATTATTTTACTTTCATTTTTCATTATTTTAAAGTGAAAAAAGTTTGAAATTGGAAGGGTAAAGGTCCGATGACACAATCAATCATCTCCCATTTTTCATTCCAATTTTCAATTTTCTTCGGCAAAAATAAAATATCTCTCCAACGAGAATCAAGGCTACAAAACCAAGGCCAAATCAGGTAATGGATGGGTGAACAAGAAAATTGATGAGTGGATTATAATATTTTTTATTTTGCATTTAGAGTAGCCGCAGCATAAGAGGAGGGGTTGTTGAACAAAATGCAAATAGGGGGGAAGGGAAGGGGGAAAGGGTTTAAGGGGCGCGAAAGAGGGAAGAGGGGGGTCAATGTGCAACAAGAAGGGGAAAAAGTCTACAATCTTATGATGAAAATAAAATTATTTAAAAAATAAAAGAGGGTCCAAATTAAGCTAAAAATTGAAGAGAATAAAAAAATTAAAACTAAAATATTACCTTCCAAAGGCAATTTGTTTTCAAAGGATGTGCGCGAGTGAAATGTGCAGATATTTAGGTGGTAAAGGCCGCCAACGGCAATAATAAGCACTTGCGCACGCACATAAACTAAACAAATCGATCAAAAATTCATTCATTAATTCGGCCAGCTACAAATAAAGTTGCACATTTCACGTTAATTTCGCGCTTTGAGCTGTTGATCTTCACCAAAAAATTTTTGCACCAAACAAGTTAATGATTAGTAAAAACTGGTGTTTATTAATGGGAGGACAGAGGCTAAGAACTAATTGACAACCAGTTTTTTTTTTTGAAAATTAAAAAGAAAATTGATTTTTCTAAAAATATTTTTAATCAGTTAAATGCAGTTTTGTGCAAATAATTAAAATTTAAATTCCAAAAGTGAAAGACAAAAATTTTGAATTTTAATCTTGATTCAATATTCACGTTTTGGTACTTTTTGGTTCCAGCCTCCTAGCTTAAGTCTCAGAGTTTCCCTAAAGATGTACATGGTCAGTAGAGATTGGTACTTTCAAAAATCCTGGATCTGAATTCTAGATCTGGATTTAGGTTAGTAACCTGGACAGGATTCTTGATCTGGATCCAGGAAAAATCCAGACTGGATCCAGATCCAGACCGATCTCTAATGGTCAGGCTTCCTTCCCCAATTACACTCCATTTCCCCGTGACCTATTCAAATGAGAGGCATCAGCAAAGGAAGTTTGACCATTACATACATCCTAGAGAAAATTCCAAACTAAGGGGACGAGATATCCAAAAGGTACCCATGATTTATTTAAACTTGGAATCTCGATCTTCCAAATTCTGTGGACGCACAATAAATGTTTCTAAAATGTGGTTTTGATATAGGAAAGCGGAAAGTGAATTGAATAATGTTCGGACAACAATATAAATAGCCAAAAATTGAATCCAAGCCCATTTTAGCATTTCCCACACATCCGTTCTGAAAATTGAAAGTAATATCGAGTAATAAAATAAAAATCCACCTATAATAGAAGATTTGTTCATTAATTCTAAGCCTGTAATTGACGTGAAAGCTTCCAGATTCTGTATCATTTGGGGTTTCTGAACGAATTTCCCATCGATGGGCGCCGCTATAAATCGAAAAGATTATTGCTCGTGCTTGAGGGAGAGGGTTACCTAACAAGTTCAAGTGTAAAATCCTGCTCTATTTGATAATTCTGAAGTGCCCAAATAGCTGAATCCATTTTATTTTTCAAGTTGTCGTCGTTTAAATTTAACAATGAACTAGTCTCGTCTGTTTTTAAGTAATCGCTGATAGAATTATTAGCTGAATCTGTAGTATTCCTAACATTCAACGTCGAAGATGCCCATTCAAGAGGCGATTGAGTTAAATTTCCCCAGCTAGGCAGTGGTCCACGTTGAGTCATTTGTAGAATACCGATCATGCTTAAATCACAAAAATAAAAATGGGCGCATTTTAGCCCCTTTCTCGTACCTCATATCATTATAAGCATTGCCTGGCCTGTTGATCTTCCCAATAACCGGGCACATTTGAAACTAGAACAAAAATTCATATTTAAATTCAAGTAGAAAATTTTTTTATTTTATACCTGCAGCAATGCTCGACGATCAAGTCGAACATCAAAAAATAGCACAAAAGTAATAACTTTGAATTTGTCACTTGTTAAGTTGCCTTTTGGCGAACGAAATAGAATATTTATTATTACCTGAATTATTAAATTTTGTTAATCTTTCAAGCTTAAAAACTTCCTCTGGACGCCCATCATCGTCTACATCTAAACTACTTGTTTCAAATGCAGGAAAAGTCAAATATTCACTCCATCGTTCATTCCAAACGGCTATGGGACTCCAAAAGTGTTGAACTTGGCCATCCTCGTCTTCGAATAAAAGAAATAACTGTTCATTAAACTGTACACTAGGCCGTTCTAAGTAGGTGTTGGTTCTTCGCCAAAGTCCCTGCAAGATTAAATTTAAAAATGTGAGGTATTCTTGAGGAAATAACAACAACCTGTGAAGCAAAAGTTAAAAACAATGCAATTATTGCTGATAAAGGGAAGCTGAAAAAATGCCAAATATTGGCAAATGAAAGCGTGGAAGCACGATATTCGACAGATATTGGCTTTAAAATTTTTCAAAATATTTTTAAAACCAAATTTAAAAAATTCCTTACAGCGCTATAAACAGTTTTAAGTCGCAACATTATTTTGTTTTGTTGGAAATAAAGGAATTTAAATTTTGTTTTGAAATTATTAAACCAGTCCAAAGAGAGAATACCCAAGCAAGGGTAGCCAAAAATGCATAGAACAAATCAAGAATAAATTTTAAACGATTTGGAGAAATAATAACCATTCAGTACTAGTTTATGGTCATTTTAATTGAAAAGGTAAAGAATGTTTTTATAAATATCACCCAAAAATGGTTGCTAAGGAACACATTTTTACATTGAATATTAGGGTCAGTAATAACGAGAGAGCTGTAATTACAGCAGAAATTGTAGAGGAACCAAAGTGGAGAAGGACCAAGGTTTATAGCATTCCGTATTTTAAAAAGCTGAGCGGAAGGATAAAAAACCGAAATTCTGCGGAAGGTGGAAGAGGAAGAGGGAAAAATGAGGACACAAAAATGCAAAAGGCAAAGGGTAAAAAAGCGGAATTCTGTTGTAGCATCAAAAATCTTGAGGATCCAAGGTTTATAATAGGGTAGCAAGCCGTCCCCCCGACGATTTTTTTGTTAAAAACCCAGAACCAAACCCGAAGGCTCTATCACGTCGAGGCACGATCCCCTACACTCCCGACTCCGAAGGAAGGTTTCTACCCTAGTTTAAAGTGTCTATAAGTCAATAATCCTTTTTTATTTGTCGTCATAGATAATAAACAAAAAAAAACATGAAATATTTTGATTATGGAATTTTTAATTTAAAAATGAAGCCATTATTTATAAAAACACGCATATTTTTTGGATCATTTAAATACTGCTTTTATGTGTTGCTGCACATTGAATGTAAAATAGAGAGAGAGAGGAGTGTTTTTTAGAGATATACTAGAGCTGGAGAAGTTATTTAAATAATGGCACATCTCCGCCTCCTTTTTGGCTTTTCCTTGTGCTTTTATAAATTAAATTATAATAAAAATTTTTAATAAAAAAATACCTTAAACTTTCTAATTTCACGCACAAGAGCCTAAAAATTTTATTTAGTGAATTAACTTTGTAATTTATCTATCTCCACGATTAGGTAGAGAATAGAGATCGACCTGGGTCTGGCCCACGGCCTAGGTTTCTCCTGTACCCAGAGTTCAGGCCCAGGCATTTTTTGACCTTCCTGGATTTTTCCTGTGCCTGGGTCTTTTCTGGATAACAGGCCCAGATCCAGCCCAGGTCAATAAATCAAACCCAAAACCCAGGAGCAGGTCCAGGCTTTTCAAAAATCTCGATCTCTAGTAGAGAATTAGAATAATAATTAAAATGTACAGGAAAAACGTAGAGTAAAATATTAACTTATATGGTTGTGAAAAAAGTCAACAATAACCATTTACTCGATTTAAAGCTAAAAAGATAATGTCGACTTTACTTAGATCCTTCTATGGGGATTTTTTAAAAACCATGGAATCTTAAACATTTGGAATTTTTAAATTTAAAAGGCCAATAAATCAAAGTTAAAAAATAAATTTTAACAAACATGAAAAGCCTCGTCCACATGCTTGCGAGTTTTAGCACTTGTGTCAATAAATGGAATGCCAAAAGAACGTGCCAATTCTTGCACAGATCGTTGGTCAACTGCTCGCTGTTGGAGATCACATTTATTACCGACCAAAACCATTGGAACCTTTAAAAATGAAAGAAATTTAGTAAAATAATTGAATTCATTTATTTTTAATTTATAAAGATAAAAAGGAACCCATGCCATAAACACTTAATGGTGATATTTAAATTTTCACAAAGCGAAAAAGCTCAAAACAGACGGAGGAATAGGGAAAAAGGAGGTAACAGGGTAAAATTGAACCTGACAAATCCAATTTATTCCTCCCCAAGTTTTTTCCATATATCTAGAGAATAGTCGGACTTCTTCCTTTCGTTCATTCCAATTGCCTTTCTAATTTTGTCTACAAACGAGCAAAAGGAATTAGGTAATTTTTATTCCCCCTTGGATGGAAGAAAGGAAAATTGGGATGGAAGAAAAGGAAAAAGTCAACCATTATGCAAATATATAGGAAAACACTTGGGCAGGAAAAAATGTGGTCTGACAGGTTCAATATTACCGGTAACAGTCAACATATTACCAACTTATTAAAATAAAATTTTGAAATATTCAAAAATAAAAACCTCGTCATTGTCCTTTACCCGTCTAATCTGTTCACGATAAGCGTGGATATTCTCAAAAGACTTGTACTAAAAATACGAGTTAATAAAACTTTCATAAAATCAAAAAAAACCTCATTAAGCGCAAAAACCAAAAGAAAACCCTCGCCAGTACGCATATATTGGTCACGCATAGCAGAATACTCTTCCTAATTTAGAAATTGAAAAGAAATATTTTAAAATAAAAACCTGTCCTGCCGTGTCTAAAATGTCAAGAAGGCAGGTCTCGCCGTCAATAAGAACCTTAAATGACAAAAATATAAAATGAAATTGGAATATTGTTAGTGAGGAGAAAATTGAAAAGATCAAAAGTGATTGAAAAGGAAGATGAAATATTTTCAGTAGGGAAGAAAAAGGGAAGAAAAAAGGGAAAGAAAAAATTTAGGGAAGAAAAAATGGTGAGGCAAAGTTTGGAATTGCCAAATACTGAAAGATGCCTTAATCTTAACACAGGATCCGTGAAAATCAGGGCCCAGACCAAGGCCAATCTCTAATAAAACCAGAGTTAAGTGCCCTTACTGAAGCAACCATCAAAAATAAAAAATACAAAACAAACCTGCTTTCGATAACTGTCCTCAATGGTTGGGTCATACTCTTCAATAAACTGGCCTTGAATTAATTGAATAGTTAATGCCTACAAATTTAAAGTAAATTTAAAATTTTAAATAAAAATAACCGATTTTCCAACTCCTCCGTCCCCAACAACAACCAACTTTAAATAAAAGAAATTTAAAAAAATAAGAAACCTCGAACCTTATATTCAGTCATTTGTCCAAAAAATAAATAGTTAATCAAATAAGTTGATATTCAGTAAAGGTCTTCAGAAAAAATTAAGAATTAAATATAATTAAATAAGTAGGAAGAAAGCTGAATTTGTTAAACAAGTCTTGTGAAAAAATTTAAAAAAAAATTAAATTTGTAAAATAAATTACAAGTAAATCGTCAAATTTTGTGCTACTAGTGATCGAGATTTTTGAAAAGCCTGGACCTGTTCGAGGGTTTGGGTTTGATTTATTGACCTGGGCCGGATACTGGGCCTGTAGTCCAGGAAAAACCCTGGCCCCAGAAGAACCCAAGAAGGTCAAAAAATGCCTGGGCCTGGACTCTGGGTAAAGGAGAAAACCAGTCGTTGGTCCAGGCCCAGCTTGATAACTACTAACACGAAAAAAAGTTTGGGCACAACAAGAAACAAAACCCAATAAAAATTCAATTTGCGTATAAAATGTCAATAATTTCACTGTTTACCCTTTTCAAATATTTTGTAAATTATTTTAACTGAAAATATAGATTTTATTTTTTTACACTTTGAAATCCAGTAAAGTTACATTTTGAAGCTCGTCAGGAAATAGTGTGGGTTAGAGAAATAAATATTTTGAAACGTTCCCAGACAAAATGGTACATACAAAAATGGTATTAAGGCAAAAAGATGACAAAATGTCATCCGTGGAAATCCCGTCTTGTGCGAAAATTTTTAAGACAATCCCAGTTTCGGGTTCCCGGAATTTTGAGTTTCAAGGGTTTTTGTCAAGAACGAAATTCGTTCTTTGAGTTAATGAATTTTCCGTTTCAAAAGACCTAAATAAATTGTCATCAATTTTTCTGGCATTAGCTTAAAATTTTTGAATTTTCTATCGAATATTCGCGAATGTAATGAAATTTGCGCCGTAAGCTATGCGCCGAATTTTAATATTTTTGCTTTTATTTTTCATCGTGTTTATTAGACACTGGTCTGATTCTTAAGTGATTTAAGATTAATTTGTTGTTGTCAAAGGGTAAAATTGTCGTTTTACTTTTCCTTCTCCAATTCCACTTTCTTCCCTATGACATATTCATGAACAGTTGTAAATAAAAAATTTGGAAGAAAGCCCGGCCAGTATGGCATATTAAGGAAAAAACTCGGGAGAAAGGGCCCGTAACTAGGATTGCGGCCCGGTCCGAAAGATCGAGTCGGGCTTCGAATTTTGGCCCGAAAAAGACTCGGCCGGGCCGGCCCGATAAAAACAAATCCCGAAAAATTGACTCTAACGTCGGACCGACCCGAAAACCCCAACTCTACCTGTAAACGATAAATTTACCTGCCAAAGTCTTAATACTTCTCGTTTTTTATTTCAGAAAATTTATTCTAAATTTATTGAAAAATAAACTATTATTGTATGACCGAGGACAAACAACTTTTCTTATTCGGACACACGCTTCCTGGGAACGAGAATCTTTTGCTCGAAAGGTTAATTTTGGTTTTACGCATGTTATTACGAAATTTTCAGGATTAAAGAATGTGCAGAGAAACGAAATAAAGGCTATTGCTCTACTTCGCCTGGATGTACTGTTCTTCGAAAAATTCCAGCTGAAGATGTTTTGCAAGTTACTGCTGGGCATAATTATGTTGCCTTTCTGCTCAAGGTTTTAGTTTACATTAGGGTTGTGGGTCAGTTCTTTGGTTTTCGGTTATGGATCCCTAAAGTTTAAGGTCGGATCGAATCCGGATTTCTTTGTTCGGTTACCGTTTTCCGAAGATTTTCTCAAGCGCCTTTCTGCTTAAGATTTTAATTCACAGTAGGGTTGTAGGTCACTTTGGTTCGGCTCCGTGTATCCTAAATTTAAGGTCGGTATGAATCCGGATTTTTTCAGTTCGGTTACGGATTGCCGAAGATTTTCTTAAAGCCAACAACCTAGCTCACATTCTCCCAACCTCTATTTGTACATTTTTAGGATCATCGAGTCGCTCGTCTTCGTTATGAGATTGTTGCCAACACTATTGAATCTACCGCCCCAACAGACAAAAGTATTCTTTAATCTTTTAAGTTTTAAAACGATTTTTTATTTGAGATGAATCTGGCCCTGGTTCATCAACAGCTCCAGCTACCACCACTGCTGGTTCCTCTGATCCAGCGTCAGCTTCTGCGAATGCTGCTGCAAATGCCGCAAATCGGACAGCCAAGATTAGGGTTTTTTCTTTCCTTTTTTTTTACAAATTTTGATTTTATTTTTAGCGAATTATGATGACGCGCCCAGGGACTCGTTCTGGCGGATTTTGCCGCACTGGAGTTGTGATTGATAGAAACCGTTCTCGACCAATGATTCCTGCCTCTTCCGTTCCAGAGGATTTAATCGTGCAATGCCAGGTTTCTATCCTTTTTATGGCTTTATTAAAATATTCTTTAGGTTGTTTTACAAGGCAAATCTCGTGATGTGATCGTTCGCGAGTTACAACGCACTAACTTAAATGTCAACGAGGCAGTCAATAATTTACTTTCTCGCGACGATGATGAAATGGATGATTTGGATGACACAAGTGAGGCCTATTTACACGAAGAGTTGCTATCGTTGCTCGATGCTGGTCTTCGTTCCGATGGAAGTGGTGCCGCAGCAGCCGCTTTACTTGATAGCGACAGCATTTATTCGGCTGGAGATGGCTACGAATACTTGATTTCGCGTGATTTGGCTAGACGCAAGGGTGAAGGTTTAAATTTGAAAATTTTTTTATTTTTAACTTTTCAATTTAATAGACAAAACAAAAGACCAAAACAAGGAAAATGCGGACAGTTCCTCAACAATCCAGGAACATTTCTTCCTCGGTGAGCGCTATACTTACTGGGGCTTAAATGGCAATGATGTTGCTGATGGTTCAACAAAATTCCAATTTCCTGATGACGTTACAAAATTCGTAAAAATTGTCTCTATGCAATCTGAACTTATTGCGCTTGCTGACAATGGAAAGATTTATGGTTGGAGTTGGGAGATTGATTCTAAGCCTGACAATTCTCCACATGTTGCAAACGACATCCTTTTTTCATCCATAGGTATTTTATATTAATTTGCTTAACATATGTGAATCTTTATATTTATAGATATAGAAGGAGAAGGTGAGGCTGACTCCATCTCTAACATCGAATCTAGTGGTCTTCGCACAGCAGTACTTTCCAAAAATGGCCTTGTTGGATCATTTGTGGACATCTCATGTGGCAATAGACTTGGCCGTATACTTTCTGAAACGCCTATTGAGATGCCTGAACCAGTCGACAAGTTGCTCTGCTGCACGCTTTATAGTGCTGTTTTGACAAAAAATGGGAATATATTTTGGAGGTTGTTTCTTTAATAATTTACGTCTCAAAAATTTTTAATTTAAGAGGAATCTATCCGTTTAATGAGCGCAGGAAGATTTGGGAAAAAATACGCGCCCGCAAAAAACAAGTCACTTTTGAATCGTGTGGGTCCGAGATTGTTGTTGGAAGCGAGGTTTCTATTTAATTTATTTTTTAATTTAATCTTTTCTTTTTTAAGGTACGTACAAAATCTACTCCAATTTATTCATTTGGTTCAATTGCTGTCAACTTTAGTCAAGGAATTCCAATGGTTTTTCTATGCTGTTTTTTGATTTAACTGATTTTTCAGATTGGCGTTTTGTACGAGGATGCATGGACTTTGAATGAGACTTGTCGTTTCCGTGTCTTTGGGTTATTCAAATTAAAATATATTTTATAATTTGAATATTTTTTAGAAGTGCGAATGCTTACGACAACTATAATGGTGAGAAACTTCAACAACAAAAGGAGAAACGTGTTTCATTCAATTGTAAATTTTGCCATTTGTAGTCAATTTTTTGGACGATTTCCTCTTACTTTTTCCCTTAGTCATTTAGAATTTTTACTTTTTTTTCAATTTTAGGTATTTTATGGGTCTCCAACTTGAGTGGTTTTCTTTGATTTTTTGTTGCTCATTTTCAGAAATATTTTAGAAAAATTTTTGGGTTTAACTTTGGCAAAATTTTAAAATTCTGAAACATTATACGATAGTCACATGGTGTAGGTCCAAATATTTTAGTAGCTGGCAATCGTAAAAGAAATGCTCCTTCAGCGCAAGCCGAGAACGAACAACGACAATCATCAACAACTGCTCAGCCCTTATCCGGTTCTGGTTCAACCTCAGCAAACAATAGTTCTGATTTTGCTGGAAAAGAGAGTGCATGGAACCTGAAAGATTGCATATTTATTCATGAAGAGGCTGTTAATGATACAAGCATTGTTAAAATTGTAAATTTTAAATTTTTTAACAAACGTGGGGGAAGGTCTTTAACTTGTATTTAGAGATTGGTGTTGGCTCTGGGGTCTTGTCTGTCTCTCTGGTCTTCTCCTGGGTCCAGACTTTGATTTTTCCTTGGGTTTAGAATCAAGAGCAAGGATTTTTCAGGATTCCTTAATTTTCCCTTGACTTTGATTTTTCCTTGACTCATGTTAAAGGATCTTTTTAAAATCTCGATCTTTACTTACAATTATCCTTTTCTCACTCAGGTTGATGGTGCTTATTGTGGAATTGTTTTCAAATCTACAATGGAAAAACTTGAATCTGAACCATCCACAGATTTAAGCAAAATGGGCATTAGACTCATGCGCAAAGATGATTTAGTTCTAGTTTCTTCCTCATCGCGTGGTTCAAGATCTCCAGAAAATTTTCAAATGCAATTTAAACAAATTCGTCTACCATCCTCTGTTAAACAAGTTTTATCTGTTGCAGTTGATTTGACAGGTTTTTAATCAAAATTTAAAATTCTAATTTTAAAAAATTTCATAGGATTTCGTGTTTTATGTGAAAAACAGTCACGTGTCCATTTACTGCGGATTAGTTGTGTTGGCAAACTTTTAAGTGATCATCCTATCCCAGTCAATTTTGGAGCATTAACACAAAATAAAAAAGATGACTCCTATGAATGTATGACTACAGTTCAAAACTTTGGGGATGTAAGTTTTGAGATTTTTTCACACGTTTATCATGCTTTATTTTAAGGAATCAATTTTACTGTTAAATGATGGCTTTGGTGGCGGCTTTCAACCTCTTTTACGGAACATATCTGGTGGATACAAACAATTATCTTATACTGGTCTAGGCCGAATTCTTCAATATGGAATGGGTATAAGATATTTTGCATCGTCTGGTGAAATAAAGAGTGCAAGTATATGTTCGGGTACTTTGAATAAAAAGCTGAATTTTTGGGTTTTTTAATTTTTCCAGAACAAATTAGCGTTGACAAGAAGAACAACAGCTTGAATAAAAACGCCAATCGTATTCTATTGATGGTTGCTTTAGTTTCTCCGAGCCCTGAATGTACACTTCCTGATCATGGATCGCTTATGCAGGCCATACTTTTCTGGTTTATTTTTTTCTTCTTTTATGATGATTTTTTTAATTTTTAGTCAATTGGACGTCGTTATTGCTATTCTCAAAAAGCTTTTAAATTCCCCAATTGAAAGTCAGCCTGCTATCGTTTGTGAACAAATTGAAGGGAATCGAAATATTTTCCATGTTGCCGTTCAAAATGCTTACAGCAGAACAAATGCTGACCAAGCTGATGTTGATGCTACTGATTCACGTTTATCAACAGCCTCTCAAAAATCTGACACTGTCGAGGCGGATGCTGTTAAGACACGGTTTCTTTAGTTTTTTGTTTCTGTATATGTGTTAATTATTTTAGTTATGAACGCAAATGGCAAGAAATGATAAGTTCAGCACCAACAACACGAGCAAAAGCGCATCAACAACAGCAACTTTTAAACGAACTAACTTCTGAAATTAAAAAAGGTTTTTCTAAATATTTTGAGTAACTTTATACTCTTATTTTTATGGTAGATTCTTCCCCTGAAACGGGCAAAGATGAGCCGGAAAGTGCTGAATCATCTGATCTTATCAATAAAAGGATTCCTATAGCTGCCAAGGAAAGACAAGGTTCTTAAATTATTTTTTGTCTTCACAAATATAATTTAAGCCAATTCAATTGAAATAATTCGTGAATTGTGCAAAAACTCCGTAGTACGTGAATATTTTATTGATTTAATGCGACAACGTGACATCAATGGGCATAGTCCATTTGAGACTGCGATATATCAGCGAGCGTATTCAGCTGCCCAATTGATGTGGCAAACTGCAATTGATGTTAAGGACTGGAGTCAAGGTTATTTTTGATAGTTTTATATTCTAGTCCTTTTCATCGGAGACTAGACGTCGTTGGCTCCAGGAGTTGAAACCTGCCCTTTGAGCGAGCTGATTGACCAATTAAAAGAAAGCTTTCTCTTTTCAAACTTTTATTTAACAAATATTAAAATATAGGGAGTAGGAACTTGTCAACTTTATTCAGAATCGAGACGAGTGAATTAATATAGTCATTCTGTCTCTCTCCTTTCTGAGTGCTAAAGATGGCCGTTTATTAATTTAACGTTGAAAATAGATTTATATGATCTTATAAAATTTCTAGATGTTGTTGATATATTAATGCCAAGCGTTGGATCTAACGATACAAATGAAGATTCTTCACTTTTTATTCTTTGTGCTAATGATACATGCAGTATATTTTTTAAATTTATTTCTTATTTTTAATTCATAATTTAAAGGTTACACTTGGACAGGCGAAGAACATACGCCTCAAAAAATTTATGAATGCAAAACATGTGGACTTGTAGGGACTCTTTGTTGTTGTACTGAATGCGGTAATATTTACTCTTTATTTTTGTAAATAAATGATTGCTTTTAGCCCTCCTTTGTCATAGAAATCATGACTGCAAGTGAGTGATTTTGTTCTTTTTTGAAATTTTTGTCATTTAAAATTTTATTTTAGACTTAAAAAAACATCTCCATCAGCTTATTGTGACTGCTGGGAAAAATGTGAATGTAAAGCTTTGGTCACTGGAAATATTGCAAAAAGGGAACAATTGCTTTCTGGTTTTTTTTTAAATTTTTTTTTAGATTATTAATATCTAAATTTAATAGGGATGTTACAATGCCCTGCATTGATTGATGGCCTTAATTCTAAAGGAGAACACATTTTGCTTTTCTTGGCTCGCACTGTTGGTCGACAGGTTTTTTAATAATTTTTTTTATTTAAAATGTTTAATTTATTGAATAGTTGATAGAACAAGAGGGCTATACGAAGCGTAGTAAGCGCCCTGGGCCTACTACCACAACTACAGCATATGGTGTTCCTATCCCCGAACATGATCTTGAACCACCAAAATTTGCAAGAAAAGGTTTTTTTTAAATTTAATATGTTCAAATTTTAATATTTTTTAGCACTCGATTTGGCAATAGGAAATTGGGATGTTGTAAAAAGTTTGCTTGATGTTGGTATTAAAAAGCCGAATACTCTCATCAATTCCAAAACTGAAGATGATCAACCAATTTTAGAAAATGTTTTTCATTTGCTCGAACATAATGGTTCAACACATTTGGACAAATTTGTTTTAACTTTACTTGGCTGGTGTGAAGAATCGAGCCTTGACACTCTTCTTAATTTACTTGTGCGCCAAGCCAACAAACAACAAAAGAAATGGGATGAAGAAGTTCACTATTTAATTCAAAGATTTGTCCGTTCAGTTATTCGTCTTTTTGTTATGGTAATCTTGCTTTCACCAGAGGCTAATGGAACTTTACTTGGTTTAAAGAAATTTTAATTTTTTTGTTAAATTTTAAACACTTTCAGCAACAATTTTTGATGATATAAACAAAGCAATCCCAGCACCCGACGCTCCCAGCTTAATTTATCCACTTTCTAACCAGTCAAATGCTGCACAACCCGGCACGTCTACTTCGGCTGTTGCTGCAATACGAGATTCTTTGAACAATTACCGAGCTGCTGCCATCTCTGGTGTACTTTCATTAGTCCGTGCTAGTCTACCTGCCGCTCTTTCTCTCAATTCATCACTTGAGAAAAAAGATCAAAAGAAGCATAAAGTTATTGCTTTTGTAGCAAAATGTCGACGAGTGTTTCAGGTTATTTTAACTTTTTTTCTTTTTAACAGAATTTTCAGGCGTTAATTAGTTATTCGTTGCTAGAGTTGATTGGAATCACTGACGCGTTAATTTCTCCGATTCGTCTTGGAATCGTTAAACCTTCAGCTAGCATTGTCTCAAATGAGGATGTTTTGGAAGTTTTACAACAACACTTGACCAACGAGCAAGACTTGTCTTCATTAATTCGGATCTCAATGCAAAGTGGTGATCGCAATGAAACGTCTGCTGGTGTGGCCAACAATGCACGTATTATACAGTTGGCTGATTTACGACGAGGTGATACTAGTCAAGCAACAGACATGGCATTGGAGCGTGCTAGCGATGATGATATGTCAAGTATATATTTTTTATCAGTTTATCATTTTAATTTTTTTTCTCAAATTAGATGAAGATGACGACGATGAAGAAGATTTGGATGCGCCAGCAACAATTTCTAGAACTCGTGAGAACAGCAATACTTCATTTAGTGCTCGTGAAAGGACAATCTCTGAGCAAAGTCGGCGTCGTCAAGAAAATGCTACTGGTTTAGATGAGAGTTTGGATGAACATGAAGGGGTTTGTTTAGTCGCGAAAATTTTTTAAAAAATATTTTTTATTGCTAGGAAGATGCGTATGGAAGTGATCACGATGACATTGACGATGATGACGACGATGATGAAGTTGAGCCATATTTTGACATCCACGACGATGACGACGACGATGATGATGGCGAAGCTGAAGTGCATGGTGGTTCTGATGTAAATCCGCTAGATGGAGAAGGAGATTCGAACGATACTGCAACAGTGACTATTGGTGCCCCTGCAACAACATCATCTACGACTGCGGAAACGGCAAATAGTGTTGAGGGTAGCAATACTTCAGCTACAATTTCGATTGAACCAACAACTGCTCGACAGGCTGACTCACAAACTCAGATAGCTGTTAGCGCTTCTGAACCCTCAGCTCGTGTTGGTGCGACCACCACTTCAACCACAACAAATCCTGCATCTAATAACGGTACTGATGGTTCTCGTCGAGGTGGAATGGGATGGGGTGAGGTAATTATGGATGAAAATGCTTGGGGTCGTAGTAACAACAATAATGTGTTTGGCAGTGGAACATCTGCTACCCAGAGGTAAGATTTTGATGAGTTAAATTAATATAATTTTTTCTTTCAGACCTAATGATCCTCGTTCAACTGTTCTTCGTTCCACCACGGCTAATTCAACAACACCTTCGATTTCTGCTAATGATTCTGTGACTTTGGGAGGTTCTGGTGCTACATCATTACCTTTAGCTGCTCAATCAGTCGTCACTGCTGATAACACTGTTGTTGCAAATTTGGGGGATAATAGTGACTTTTCTTCAAGTAATACAAGTACACAATTATCAGCTTGTTTCTCGGTTTGTTTTTCTTTTTAATTTTCTGATTTTTTTTTACTTTTTATTTTTAGACAATTGTCAAATTAATCGACGAATTACTTTTGCAATTATTTTTTTATGAAAATTGGAAACAACAAGGCAATAAATCAAAAGGAATCACCAACATACTTGAGTTGGATCCAAAGATTTTTGGCGTTTTTAAGGTTTGACTATTTATTTACTGTCTCAACTTCTCATATGTTTTTTAAATTGTAGGATGCTTTTGACGAATGTTTAGATCCAACATGGAATTGGTTCTTTTCGATTATGGACAAGTTAGTTTTATTTTTGTCTCTTTTTAAATATTTCTCTTTTTTTAAAGAACGGAAGCGCAGCTACGCTACTCAAATGCTTTAATGAACTCATCAGTTGGTCGTCTTCTAAATTTAACTCAAGTTGATGTTTCTGATCAAACTGATGAACGACGCGATGACCAACCACGAACATTAGCAGCAGCCGCACAACGAAATCGAGCTGCTGCTGAACAGAAGAAGCCTTTAACGAAACGTGTTACAATGGGAGCAAAACGTGGCGGGGATGGAAATGGTGCAACTGGAGATTCTGATAGTCAAAATGCTGCTCGGGCAGAAAATATTTCTTATTTTCTTTCACTTTTAAGAAGTTATTCGGCAGAAAATGGTTTTTATTTTTTTAAGTCAATTTTACTTTTTTAATTTCCTTTAAGGTGATGATTTGCCTGTGCTTGAACTTAATGCACTCAGAGATTTGGCTTTCATCATTGAATCTTATCTTTTCCATATTTGCTTTATCGACCAATTGGACCAGGCAAAGGCTGTTGTCCCACCAGTCAAGATTAGTCGAGCAACAAGAGGAAATTCTGAAATACGACAACACGAGAATGAAGAGCAAAAGAAGAACAAACTTCGTCGTTTTTTCAAACGCTCCAATTCAATTTCGTATTCGACATTGAGGTTATTTTTTTGTTTATTTCACAGATGTTATCTTCTCATTTTTTAGTGATGCTGTCAAACATCATGCATTTACATATACTGCGGCAGATGTTTTGCCACTTTCTGTTCGTCCTTATCTACTAAATTCTGAAGCGGAACGTGATGTATTATTCGCTCTTCCTCCATCTTATCGTACAAGATCTGTGCATCGGGTTTCTTTTATAACTTCAATTTTTGTTTTATTTTCATTTTTATTTTCAGCGTATTGCACTGGAGCATGGTGTTAAATTCCCTGCTCATCATAGCCTTTCCCAGCCTCCATTGTCTTATGCTGATTTACAAAATCGTCTATTCGGTGATGATGGCTCTAAAACTCAACAAATCGAGTCGGCCTCCACTCATGATGCTTCTAATTCTGATGCGATGGAAATATGCACTGCTACAAGTGATGGTGATTCCAAAAAAATGAGCCCTCCGGTTTTCAATGCATTTCAAAAGTCAATCGGACGATGGAATCGAACAATTGCATTCGTTGCAAAGGTATTTTTTTTTATAAAATATCAATCGTAAAATTTTTTTTAGAATTTCCATGACGATATCACTAAATGGTTTGGTGGTGATTCTTCTCATTCTGTTCTTATTCACAAAACTGGAGGTTTTTTTTAATTTTTTATAAACCTAATTCATTCCTTTTATTTAAGTTTGTTCCTTCAATGTCCGTTATTCTCAATTCCGAAAGCAGATGGATCGACTCAAAAGTACCCAAACCAAAGATTTAGTCTTTAGTGTATGTTTTAATTTTTGTGGATTTTATTGAATAATAAAATTTTCAGCAAGTTCCACGTGAGAAATATGTCCTTCTCCAACAAACCTTCCGACAGCTAAATCATCATTATGTTCGTCGAACGAGTGGGGCTAGTGGTACTTCATCCACAGCAACCCCAAGTCAAATTACCAATGCAAGAACAAGTTCTTCAAGTGGCCCTGGAAGGACATTACCCCTTGCTTCACATAAGGTTAATTTAGCTTTTTTATTTTTTAACATTAATTCTTAAGGTAAAAGTAACTTTCCGTGATGAACCTGGAGAAGGTACTGGAGTTGCGCGTCATTTTTATGCCGCTGTTGCAGAGGTTGATTTTGATGTTTTTTAAATTTTTAATCGTTCATTAGGCCCTAACAACTGTCAAGCATTTGCCTCCGCTTGATAATGTTAATGAAGATGGAACAAATAAATCTGACACAAAAACTCCTGGAAAGTCAGCTTCTGTTGGTCCTGCAACGCCAAATATGCCTAAAGCTGACGATTCTGTTGCTGCTAGCGGTATATAATTTTAAAATGATATCAAGGACGTATCCAGGGGATCGGTGTTTTTTGGGGGGGGGGCGCCGTAGGCAAAAAATTTTTTAAATTTGAGGGTTGTAGGCGAAAAAACGCCAAATATACCTAAAGCTGACGATTCTGTTGCTGCTAGCGGTATATAATTTAAAAAATGTTTATTATGTTCCCAATAAATTTTTAGGTCGAACTCTTCGAAGTAGCACTACCAGTGCCACCAGTACACCAGCTGCTGGTAATGAAGCTGCTTTAATGCCGGCTCCTTCAACTCCTGCACTCAGCACAAGTTCATTTATTCTTCCAACTGGTTCAGACACTCAAACACCTCTCTTTTACAAAGCTGCAGCAAAAATTTCTGGAGGATTTTATACTCCAATTACTGGTTTGAATTGCAGTTCACAACGTCTGAATGCTTTTCGCAATGTGGGAAGGTTAAGAAAATTTTTTCTTAAAATTTTTTAAATTTCTTATTTTAAAGATTGATTGGAATTTGTCTTCAACATATGGAAATTTTCCCTTTGCCGTATTATTTTATTTAATTTTCAATTTTAAATTTTCTCTTTTAAAGTCTTTCTCGTTATGTTCTTAAATATATTTTGGGACGTAATATTACTTGGTATGATCTAGCCTTCTTTGATTCATCACTCTTTGATTCTTTACGTTCAATTGTTTACAATGAGAATGATGAAAGTTACCAGTCTCAAGAATTTTTCAATCAACTTGAAATGACATTTGCTGTTGATTTGCCTGCTGAAGAGGTTAAGAGAACAATAAAAATTTTATAATTTTTATATAATAGTGTTGTTGGCGACCGGTTATTACTTTACTGTTGGTACCTTCGGTTTTCGGTTATGACTGGTTATTAAACTAGGGGAGCAACCTGACCCCCGAAACCCCGACCCCGACGCATTTTTGTCAAAACCCCGACCCGAATCCCGAAGGCTCTACTCCGACAAACTCCGATTCCCGACACACCCGCCCTCGGCTTCGGCTAATTCTCCAAAGCACTTCTTTTCGGTTATGGTTAATCGATGGCCAACAATTCTATTATACTTTTAAATATTAATTTTTTTATATTTTTATTTTTAGGGTGGTGGTACACTCGAATTGAAGCCTGGTGGTGCTGATATTCCTGTAAACAATGAAAATGTTTTGGAATATATTTATCTTTTTGTTGAAAATCGCCTTATTGGACGAAATAAAGCTAGCCTTGATGGTATTTTTTTGGAAATATTTTTTATATTAAATTTTTTAAGCAATGCGTCGCGGTGTCTTTGACGTGTTACCAGCTGATGCATTAATTAATTTAACTGCTGAGGATATGAGATTAATTCTTTGTGGCAGCCAAGACATTAATCTACAAATTTTGCAAAGCTTTACAAAATTCTTTGATGAAAGTTCAGCACCAGCTAATGTGCTTGCCAAATATAAAAAGAATTTTTGGATTGTGGTGAATAAATTTAGTAATGCAGAGAAGCAGGTTTTTTTTCAAAATTTATTTTTTAAAATTTATTTTGTATTTTTAAAGGATCTTTGTTTCTTTTGGACTGGCTCTCCAAATTTGCCATCTACTGAGGAAGGATTCCAGCCATTACCTACAATAATGTATTATTTTTTAATGCTTTTTTGGTATACTTCTGTTGTTTCCCAATATTTTCTGTTTGTCTATATGATTTCAAAATTTCAAAAGGTACAAAATTGTCATGAGACCTTCACTATAGGCGAAAAGTGCCCGGCTCTACATTTTAGACTTACTATAGCCCTGGGTGTGTGGAGCCTGGTGTCTATTTTCTTCCATTACGTCCACTGTATTCACATAAAATCTTGTGGGATTCTGTTCGACCAGATACATAATTGTAGTTCTAAAATGATCTGCCGGGAGCAAGTTTTGTGACAATTTTGTCCAATTTAGAATGAATGAGAAAAGAAAATAAAAGAAAATGTGGGGGAGATGACTGAAAAGTACTGCTCTTTTTAAGTAGAATAATAATTTAATACTACAAATTATTTTTAAGGATACGACCAGCTGATGACTTGCATCTTCCTACTGCAAACACGTTATTTTTTTAATTATTTTTTTAAAATCTTTAAAAATATTTTTTTCAGTTGTATTTCACGATTGTATGTTCCGCTTTACTCTTCAAAGAAAATTTTGGCATCAAAATTGCTTTTAGCTATTAAAGCGCACAATTTTGGATTTGTTTAAAAGATATCCCTTTTTTGATTATAAAAAAATGTTTTATGCTTATTTTATGTATAATTTTATTTTAAAAAATGTCTCAACTTTATGATTATTTTATATAAGACCTTTATTGCTTTGTTTTGTAGTTGACACACACACACAGCTCGGGCCCATACCGTTGATGCACGCGCCAAACAGAATTTCGATACACGTTGTTCATTTCCAGATGTTTTGGTTGCACCAACAGAGTGGGCCAGCTGTGTTGACATAAATATAACTTTCGCTTTTTTATAAATTTTAAAAATAAAATTTATTTGTTGGCATTTTAGAAAGAAATATCATTTTTAGTATACAATCCTTTACCTATACAATCCTTTACATACCCTTAATCAGCTGAGGGGACCAGCTGTGTTAACATAACTTTTGCTTTTCGATAAATTTTAAAAATAGAATTTAATTGTTGACATTTTAGAAAAAATTTTTTTAGAAAATCATTTTTAATCATCATACAAAGCCTGCCTGTACAATCCTTTACTTATGGCCCTTAATATGTTATTCATTCTGCTGCTTCCCTTCTATTTTACTAGGTATCTTTAAAGTGTAAACATTAAAAATAAATCCTTTAAGCTTAACAATGAGTACATCTCCTAGTTCAAATAGTCCTTTGACTCAATTTCAATTGCTCATTAATTCTTCTGAAGAGGATCTAATTCAACCATTGAACGCTTTCTTTGAGACATTTTTTGCTATGAATGATAGTATTTCTATTGAACAGTGGGATATGGCTCTTCCTAGTGATTCTGAAAGGGAACAAATGAAAGAGGTCGTTTAATACTTTAAACAACTTTATGACAAAATTTTAGCTTATTTCCTTCCTTATGAACACTGATGATTTTGGCAAAATCTCTTCTGATTCGACTTTGCTTTCCCGAGTTGCTCCTCTTCTTGTTAAATCAATCCAATTAACTTTTATTAAAGTTGCACCTTTTAACTAGAGTGGCAACCCGAACCCCAAAAGGCTCTACCTAAGTCCCCGACGTAAACCCCCGAGTTGGGGTAGGGGTAAAAATACACCCCTAAGGATGGAATTGGCCTTGGCAAAACCCCGATCCCCGACAATCCCTTCCCCGAAGGATCGGGTTGCTACCCTAATTTTAACTAGTCTTTACTAATTAAAATATTTTGAAGAATCGTTTCTGTGTTGTCCACGAACTCTTGCCTCCCTCCGAACGCTTTAAACGATTTTGGGGATATTTGGTACTTTGCTCCCCAGCCTACTGTAATTCGAATAGAACGCGATTACATCATTCTTCTCCACACTTTCTGACAGACGGTAAAATTTTTTCGAAGATTCCAAAAATCTCGAATTTAAAATGAAAGGAGATGTATGTAATCAAACAGCCGCAATTTTTGAGCGAACTGGGTCCCGTTCTTTAGTAGTTGCTGGTGCTACTCGTTACTCAGTCCGAGGAAACCTCACTTCGTCTTGCCAGCCAAGAAATGCAATAGCTGATGCAGCACATAATAATTTAACAATGTTTCATACAATGTGTGTTGGTGTTTTTGAAGCTTCGAATGAGGGGATTTTTATGCAATGGCATGGCCAACAGAGTTGGTGAGGAAATAAACGGGTTTTGAATTAACAAAGGCTCTTATCCGGATTACGCGTCCAATCGAACCTTTATACGTCCAATAGCTAGTTTATGCGTCCAATCAAAATTATGCGTCCATTCAATGACGATACGTTCTCAGCAGGGATGGGACGGGCTGAGAAAAAAGTCGGGTTGAAAAAAGTCCGGGTTTCAGGTAACCCGTCCCATCCCTGGTACACAGTAAGTCTAGGGGAGTAGAAAGCTTTACTTACCCAGAGTTATGATGTATAAAGCTGTGATTGGACGCATAAACTGGACAAGAGCCGTAACAAATTCACTTAAAAAATATAAACAGCCCACAATCTGGAGCATTTATCAGTGCAGGAGCTAAAGGCACAAATCCCATCTACAAGGACAAGGAAGCATATGTAAACAAAGTAAATGACATTAAAACACCCATAACTGATCTTAAATTTGGTTTTAGTTGGTCTCCACAGTAAATAAACTCGTAGGAGAAGACATCGCAACTACGCCATTGCAGGATCGTAAATGCTCCTTGGTCGCTTCGACAAACGTTTTTGGTCGAATTGTAAATGGAGTGGAAGAGGAAAATGCTTGTGAAGGGAAAGCAGACCCAAAAGTAAAATTTTTGTTTGAAATTTTGTTTAATTTTCTTTGTAGAATGTCACAGGGAATTTCATACATATTGAACAACAAAGAAAGTACAGGGATGATTGGGCAAGTAATCTTTCCTATATTCCTTTAAAACTTGATATTTTAGATCCTCTGGATAAATGCAATTAAACAATTGTTTTGAAGGACCGATTATTTGTTTATGTAATACATTAGCTTTAAATTTAAAATATTAGATAACTATGTATTATCCCGTTTCACGATAAAACACAGTCAAGACAAAGTCCGATGAAATACCGTACGACAAGATACAGTCAAGACAAAACACCGACTTACTGGCAATTTTTAAACTTGACAATTTGTGCGTAGCAGGGGGGGGGGGGACGGTTGAGTTGAATCAGTTTGAAT